TGATCACACTAATCTTCAAACATCGGCACATATGTTCATTTTGACTTCATTTTCTCCTTTCATCCTGCTTTCTTCATCTCTTATTCTCTTTCATTCATAGGCTGCCCTTGATGTAACTTAACCAAAAATGGTAAATATTTTTCTACTGAATGGTCACGAGAATTTTAGCAGGTCAGCTCAGCAACTGCACTTAGACAAGTGCAAATGACAACTCTCCTCCCCCAGGATATTTCACTTCTTCAAGCACTTCTATTTCCTTAATTGTCATCGAAGACAATCGAGTAACATGCCGTCGGAACGCATTCCACCAAATTTTTTTTCCTCTTTTTATTTTAATTTACCTTTTCTTAGCTTTTCCTTCGCATTCCTTTCTTTCTCTTCTTTCTCCCTACATACAAGCTGTTCCTCCTCTTTCTCACACTACCACATTCATCAACGTCCCCTACGTTTTTCATTGTCTTTTCATGCTTATACAAAACATTTCTCCTCACAAGTTTATATTTACCATAAGTCAAGTGTTTTTCTATGAACTTCTAGTTCTCTCGATTCAATCGTGTCGGAAACGTTTTCATTTTTTTTGAGCTTTTTCTATAACAAGTTTTTCAATCTCCCTATTTGCACCTTTGTTCATCCTCCGTTGCTCAGGGAGGTTTAGGCAAAAATCTGGTAAAGTTGTGTACGAGAGAGTGAAAAAGAGAAGGTTATGCCAACGTTTCCAACCTCGCAAAGTCAAGTTGCAGTTCTTTGTGGGGATCTGTACAAGGATCTTTCATAAACTATCTGTACCATGTATGCAAATTACATGGCGTTTTATGAAACACTTAATAGTTCTTTCAATGCCACCTTCTCCATTTTTCCTATCTATTTTGAATATACTAAAAGAAACTAATGTCCAGTATCTATACACAGGCTTTTCCTACGTAATCTGAGAGACGATAGCCATTCAGTCAATCAGAAGAAGATGAAGAAGAAGAAGAATATCAAAATACTAACAGAGAAATATCTTTCAAACACGTGAATAGGATGGAAGCATTTAGTATTTTCGTCTTGGTGTATTTGTCCTTTACTCCACTTCCCAATTCTGTCATCTGCTGATCTCATAAATTTGCAAAGGATAACCTCTTGAATATTCAAAAGTTTCATTGTTTTGAACGAAAAGCTCTATAATCATGTCAGAAACCATATGAGACTGCGTTGAAGAGAGAAAGTAGAGTAGAGCAAGAAATATTTTTTTTATCCGGATCGAACATGGCAGATGAGATTTTTTCTTTCCCTCCTTAATCATATAGAAATGAGTTGTGAATTATTCTTTGCCATTGCTTTCAGTGCTCTTTTTAGTCATACAACCCGTCAGCAAACTAATCACATCATTTTCTTCAGAATTGTGTGGTAGTCGTTGATGATTTCTGTCTGATTACCGATATGGACTAAATTTGATAGACACAAATAGACAACTGGTTACCATTTTTCGCCTAATAACACACAATAATTGTGATGTTAAAGTCACTGCAATCTCTGATCTCTCTAATATAATTAGTTTTACTTCTTAAAGAAGCAATGATTGAACGAAAATTCTTAAATGATGCGTGTGGCTGTGGTTAATTCGGAAGGCAAACTCAACAAGACCAAACGGGATTCGTGTCAAAACGAAATCAAGACAAGTCTTAAAATGCCATGACTATACTAGCCGGCTTTACAATCACTTCGTCGTCAAGAAGTTTCGAACCATTTTTTTGTCTTCCTTTTAGAAAAAATTCTATTCTTCACTCCTCATTCTCTCTTCATCTCTAGTTTTGTTGCTTTAACAGAGCTTCTAAAGAAGAGTTGTATTCAAATCTCCGAGATAAAAAAAAACAACGGAGATCAAGAATTGCAAGACTTGAAACAACACGGAACAGAGCCACGTGTTTCTTATTCACTACGGGCTTCATCTAGCCATATTCAAAAAATTGTTCTTTTTTTAGTTACAAACGTATTTAATCTTCGCTTTCTAATATTACGGCGTTCTTCAGATATTTCTATTATATGGTCCTGTTTAGTCCTTTCTTCTCTCTCCTTCTTTCGTTCTCCTTCTTTCTCTCTTGTTGAAATGGAGGGAATATGATAGAGTTGGAAAAGCTAACTGCAGAACGAGAGAACAAGAGAAGGATTAGAAAAGACTTCTGGGTATCCACATTACGTCCTCAGAACAATCTAAACCTCTCGGAATCTATCTCTATATATAAAGCCAACTGCGTATTCTCTTCGCTTTCTACTGCCATCAAAATATTGCTCTCATGTTTCTCGTACACTTATAGTCTGAAAAAGGAGAGAGAACGAACGAGAGAAAAGCGAGTTAAGAGAGTAGATAGAAATGAAGAAAGGGATTCATGATCCACCACCCATACAGCGGCTCTTCGCAACTGGACAGACTCCGTCATGCACAACAAAATCTGACTTCCCTTCCTCTCTCTCTCTCTCCCTCTTTATTGCTTCCCTAATTCTATCTCTCCTTCTATATATCCTTTTTCTCGTGTCCACTACAACAACTTGTCTCTTTACATCTCTTAAGCATTATTTCAGAATCTGTACCGCTTTATCTTCTCTCTGGAACCAATAAACAATTGACGGTCATTCCGCATTTCTTCCTCGCAATTATTGCTCTCCCACACATGAGAAAACAAAAAGTGTCTGCTTCACAATCCTTCAATCTCTTCAATCCTCACTTGTCTGCCTACTTTTCACATTCTCTTCAGCTTTTTCATTGCAAAAATCACAAATATACTAGTAGAACCTAACATATCCTTACCGCCGCTTCATCTCACTTCTTCTCTCTTCCTTACTACTTCTAATTCTATCTCTCCCCTCTTCATATTTGTCCGAGCTTTTATCTCTCCCATCGCCGTTCTTCTTCTATTCTTCCTTACGCAGACATATTCACATGCTCATACACATGCACATACGCCACTACGCGCTATCGATCCTGAAATGAATGAGGGGCTTGATTCCTCCGCCCTGCTCTGCGGCTTTCAGTTTACATAACTAATACTCTTTACTATATATGGCTATATTCTTTCTTATGTTCTATAGCTAGTTCTTTACCATTTGTCCCCAGTTCCTGAAGTTCCGCTCGTAAAGTTCTGTTGGTAAGCCTTAGGCGACAACATCACTTAACGCGCCAATGTCATCTCCTCTCACGGCTTGTCTGCTTCCATCTTTATGAATTCATCGTTTTTTCTGTGTTCCATCCCATTTTTCTTTGGCAACCACGCGGATCAGTAAGAAAACTTGCACTTTCGCAGTCTTCTTCTCATATTTACTCTCATTTCATTTCTAAGTAAAATTCTTAAACTGACCAGTTTCTGAACTCGTCGGCAAATGAAAAAGCGTTCACGTATTAATCACGTCAGTTTCATTTTCATTTCACTTTCGGTGATTCGGTTCCGGCTGTGCGTGTTTCATTCTCTTTTATTTTATTATTTCGCACTGGAAAACTTTTATTACGGAATTCATTTCATTTTTAGTATTTCCGGAAAAGCTTTAAAAAAAAGTAAAACTGATTCTTATTACAAAATCATCTTATGTGTTTTATCCTGACCTTAAATATCGTGCCTTAAATTTTTTTTTGGCTTCATTAGATCAGATAGCTTTTCAAAAATCAATTGTCGATTTAAACTTGCCGGAACTGCTGCAACTTCATACTTGATAAACTGTTGTCAGTTTTTCAAAACAGAGGCAAGTGAAACGCATTGAAAAACATAGCACGCTAATAAGACTTTCTCATTTCGAAGATTGTTTTAATAATACATTGCCTAATGAGGTCAGAGATAACTCAAAAAGGTTAAAACATTGAATAATCGATATAAAATTAGTTTATATGTTTGCACTGCTTTTACAAACGGCCCTGCCTACTAACAACGTCCGCCATTTTCATTCTACGCTTATCTCTATTTCTTTTTGTCTGAGTCTTCGTTCCTCTTATTTTTTCCTTTCCTTTCTTTCTCTTTCTATCTTTCCGGCTCTGCGTCATAGAAATTTTTCGTAATATCGTTACCTTTACGATTCATTTCTACTTTAACCGAAAATTTTATCTTTCAATCAACAATCCTGATTGAGTAAAGCCAAAAGTCTTCGGTAGTAAGAAAGCGTTAGCGAGTTGTATCAATTTTTAACCTTTTTACATTGTGTTTTCCTTTTTTCTTATTCATTCACCACAAATCATTTCTTCCTGATCGACGTTAAGATTTTCTGCGCACTACTTATCTGATATTTGTACACGGCTCATAGCTTTTCCCACACCTTCGTATTGACTGCTCCGTCTTGCTTTGGGTTTTTCTTAAGGTTAATGGTCCTTGAAATAAGTTTAATTGTAGCAAATATCATAACCTTCATCACTCTTATGCTTTCATCCTATTTCAATTAAGTCTGTTTATTTTCTACCTCAAATGTTCATAGTTCTTATCGTCATCACGGTCTATACTAAATAGAGATTGTTTTGATCACCTAGCAGTCGATTTCTCTTTCTTTATTCATTTTTGGCACTCCTCACGTTATTTTTTTGTAGAATTGTAAAGAATGTTTTGTATGATTTGAAATATCTATCGTTCTCCTTCCATATTTGAAGTGTACCTGTTTTGTGTGAGTTTGCTCAAGCCTCAGTGTAGGCTCTAGTTATACAAACAAAAAGCTCTGTGCTTCTACTTACCTACATGTAGCAATAGAACCTATATCGTTTCCGGCTTCTCCTCTTCATTCCTAGCTTTTTTGACTCATTTTATTCTTAATTCCTTAAAAGATTTGCCTGTCTCGTTTAACGTTGTTCTATGTTTTCTGATCAATAATTGATGATTACGTAGAGTAATCAACTTCTAGTTTTCATACGATTTGTTATTCTCTGTTCTACCTTTCTTTTACTGTGTGTAAGATATTTCCGATTCATTTCCTTCTTTTTTTCCAGCTTATCTCTCAATAATAAAAAAAGGACGAGGGGTGAAAAATATCGTGGGTAGTATCCCCTCGCGATGACAGTAGTGGCCAGCTACGGTATGGTTCTATGTGGCAACTCAGATGACCACCAGTATCGCTATAGGGGGAAAATAGAGAAGTAAGTTTCCTTATTCGTACATATTAAACTGAATTATTTCCTACAGAGTTAAGTTCGGTGTTCCAATCAATGAAGCCTTCGCCCATGATATCCCTGCCACTCTATTAGTATTAATGCCCTATGTGATCATTCTCTGATGTTTTCCCCTTTTCAGATATTATTATTGAAAGTGAATAAAGAAGGGCCGTTAAAAAAGGATATCTGGAGAGCCCCTGGTAATCAAGCGCAGGTTTGAACATTGTTTTTTGATTTTTTGAATTCTGACGTTCTAAAAATACAGGTTCGAAAGTTATCACACATTATGCAACATGGTCGCCTGGTGAACATTGCCAATTTTAGCGTATACACAGCAGCTTCTGTAATAAAAGTAAGATTTGTTTCTGGGTTCTTCACAGTGCAAGTTCATCTCTTCAGAAGTTTCTGTCAAAACTTCCTGGCGGGATTTTTGGCGTAGAAAATGAGCAAACATTATTCAATAGTTCCTTAAGCAGTAGTGATCCTGATAAGCAGAGACAAGTTTTCTACAGGTTGGTTTTTTTTTGAGCAATTTTAATAGAAGATCATGTTTCAAGTCGATCATGACGTTCGATTATCTTTCTCATTTCTTTGTATTTGACATGACAACATAAAATTATTTACTTTGTACCGTTCGACAAGCGTTCTTCAGTCTAACATTCTCTTTGATAGACTGACAATCTATCAAGAAGTTGATTCGATTGTTGAACTTTTCTTCTTTCTCATTGGCATTCTTTTCCTTTTTCAGGATATTCTGCTCACTTCCCGTGCCTTCACAACATTTACTTGTCCTTTTATTTGGGACTTTTCGGATGGTTGCTGATTCAGCTGATTCGTTTGGCACTAAAATGACTCCAGACGCAATCGCCATCTCCGTGGCTCCTTCACTTTTTCACTCGTGTATTCATGATGGTAGACAAGTAAGTAACTTTCTCAATTTCATATCACATCAATATATCATTTCAGGCAAAAGTTGAAGATGTTCAACGTTTCAAACTAGCTTCTCAAGTTGTTAAATCTATAATTGTGTCGTTCGGACATACAAATCTCTTCCCTCGTGAATGTTACGAGTTTTATGCAAGGATTACGGGACGCACCTTAAGGGTCGACGAGAATTGGCTGTTCACTTTTCAATATCCATCAAGTTGGTTTTTTTTTGAACTTTTAAGTAGATTGCTTTAACTGTTGTGAAAAATTTTCGCAAACATTCACAAAGCATAAAAAAAGAATTAGTAGAGCTTACTTCTCGGCTTCTGCAAAACTAAGCGTTTTCTGAAATATAGCAAGATTTGCCTGCAAGTCCTCGATAGATTTCTATTAATTGCGATATGTGAGCTAGTTTACATCTTGACCACCTTATAAGCATAGTGACATTAGCACTAGCATATTATCTCCACGTTGTCCTGTCTGAACTGCTATTGCAAGCTTGTTTTGGATATCATGCTTTATTTAGAAGCAAAGCTAATATTTGTGGTATCCGGAACTACTTCTATTACCGTCTCCCTTATTCATTTACTATTCGACGTTTTTTCTCGTTTTCTACCATTTCGGTGCTTTTTAGTTTTTGTGTGCATGTAGTGTGTGGATAGTTCGTGTGTTTCTTCTTAACTTTAGTTTTGCATGTTCGTCTGGAAAACACTGACTGTTTCAGTCTGTGCTGATTGATGTATTTCTACTCTATCAGTCATCATTTCGGGTTTTATGGATCTTATATTGTTTGTTCATTGGAACTATTGTTGTCTCATTCCTACCTAAACAGGCATGTAAGTCGATCTCGCAGTCTTTTATGTCGTCTTAGTTGCTCCTCAGTAGTTTCGTGGATGAAACAATATGCGCTTTTTGTTCTTTTATATTGTCTCAAAAATAAGGAAAAAATTTTAAAAATGTATTTGGTTTGTCTAACCGTGGGTGTGAGGTGTTGTTGTTCACAGATCTTTCTTCACCGGCTTTCTCCATGATGGCTGCGAAATGTGCTGGTGCTTATTCCTTGGCTGCATTACATTTGGAACACGAAGCTGACCCCCAGCAAGCCGAGAGCCCCAGGAAATCATCGTCTGTTCAACGTACGGGATCACTTCATCGACATCCCTTGGCACACACAGCAGATCATCCCAAACGTCCTGCTCATAATGTTGTTGATGTTGTAGATCTGAAACAATCAATAAGTTGCGATTTTTAATTTTTTAGACTGTGCTACCTCCAATTGCCTGCTAATTTGTTTTTTCTGTCTCTTTTACCTTCAAGTGATTTTATGTTTTGTTCTATGCTCCGAATTTATCTCTGATTTTAATTCCAAATATAATTCTTGCCTTCATTTGCATAATTACTGCCCTACCTTATTTAAAAGCTCAAAACTACACTTTAAATCAACTTTGTCCTTACGAAGTTCCGTGCACAAAGTTGCAAGAGAACGAAGGTTCTTTCACTTTGTTAGCGAAATTGAAAGTTTTAACTTTGACTGTCCTAATAATTAATATTGTTCAACAACGTCTTCCATGGTTCTGATGACCTTACTCAACTCACTTTCATCTCACATGTCTCATAATAAGTCTTATGCTTCCTTATCCTTCTTAACCTTAATATTAGGTCGTGATCTTGTTTTTATTGGTCAAAAAGAAGCTATGATACGTGTAACACTACTATTCATATATGGCTATAAATTCTCTTAATATCACTGTTCTATCTTTCTTTTGTCTTTATTTTTGTTCACTAGCTCACACGCAATTAAGGTATGTTCGTCCATCCAATTCAAAATACTCATTTTCCGTAATTCTCATAACGCCTTTTTAGGAAGTTCATCTAGACCAAATGTAGTGATTAATGACTCTTCAAATCCTGAAACGCCTACATCCTGCAATCCAATAGTTCGAAAATCAACCACATCTTCTAATAATAATCGTCTTAGTAATCGTTTGAGTAGTAGTGTTGGAGAGGTAAAAGCCAGTTTTCCTGTCTATTCTTCATCTCCTTTTAAGGTTTTACATGAAACTAGTGATGTTGAAGATCATATGGAGATGGAAGCACTTAGGCCTTTCACAGCTTGCGCTGGAGATACTGGTCGGTCTTTATCTTGTCTAGATTGGGTTCATGAGAATCAAGCACGCAGAATGAAAAGTAGAAGTGATTGGTTAGTTAGTTGTTTGCGCTGTAGTATCTAGGGCTTATTCCTCTCTTTAAGGTTTCTTACACCCTTTCTTCCGGATAAGTCTAACTCGAGGTCTGCTGACTATTTCATCGATGCCGTTTCAAAGAAGGATGGTAGAGTGAGCGAAAATAGGGCTCTCATTCGACATGAGGTGTTATTGGAAGAGAAACTTCCACCTAGCCCAGTTGAAAGACAACCTCTCAGCAACCGCAAAAACTCCCAGAACGAATTGAACCATAGAAAATCATCGGTAATATCCTTTCTTATTTTTTTTTCTCTAACTCCTCATTGTCAGAATACCCCAACGGCACCCATCAATATATCAGGATGGGGACCACCACCTAGTGCTACTCAATCAGCTTCAGCTATTACTAGGCGAAGGTCTTGGCTTGTGCGGGGCATGAAAGACCTGAACGAATCTTCAGCTAAAACAGTAAGTTCATCCCATCACTCTTCTTCCGAAATGTTTCATTCTTAAGCATTCCTTGGATTATCCGAACCCTCCATCTCCTAATGCTCTTGCATCACACGCACATAGTGTAGGTGGAGAAATTTGGATTACCGATATATCAGGAGGGGATGAAATTCCTAAAAAACGTAGAAGTCTTAAAAAGAAGGTGTCAACTCATTTCTAGAACGATTTCAATGTTGTATTATCAGCCCCAAGCTATAGAATCTTGCTTACCAAATCATATTAGGGCTCTTTCAATGCATATTAATAATTTCCCTCAGGAACTGTTCTTGCCTAATAAGTATAGCATAAATTGCTGTTATGATGCATTGATCCTTGACAAGGCCGGGCCTATCTTTCCTTGTAAACCTCATTTCGAATTATTGTCATACTTTGGTTGTGTATTATTCGTCTTTCAGTGTAATCTTCCTATGTTAAAACATGGAGATTACATCATTTTGAACGTTTTCTTTCTTTTTTTTTGTGATTATGCAGTTTTCACTTAAATGGAACTGTTCTCCGTGGAAGTACCATATTTCTGAGCTCAATCTATGACCCTGCTTTCAGCCTTTACTATCTATGTGTTCCTTAATAAATTAATTCATTCTTTCAAATCGTTTGTTCGTATACCACATCATGAAGTCGTTAAATACGAAGCATTGTTATCGCCAACGCATCATATATAGCCGCTTACTTAACAAACTCTGATGTCAGAGGTAAAACGTTTGGATCGGAATGCTGCCGAGAACCAAACTCAATAATCCAATTTGTCTTATCAAGTTAAAAGCTTCTGAGATTTATTCTTCAAAAGTCTAGTTTTAAGTTTTGAAATATAATTCTCTTCCAATTTTTATTTTGTCAGTGTCTATGCTAAAAAGCGGTAAGGTGTTTCAATCATAACTTTCAGTAATGGCTGAGTCGATCACTGTTCGTGTTCCTTCCAATATAGCGCTGATCAAGTATTGGGGAAAGAAAGACGAAGTAGGTGTTTTTTTAGCTCGAAAGTGTATTGTTCTGATGATCAGAAGTACAACACTCCCTTGAATGATTCTGTTTCACTTACGATTGATGATCTCTATGCTGAAACAACAATCAAATATGATTACCAAACAGGAAAGGATTCAGTAGTAATTAATGGGCAAAACGTGGACTTAACAACTAGTCCTCGATTTCAGAAATGCTTCGAGGTAGCTAAAACTTCGTTTCATTAATTATTCATGGCTTTGCATTGCAGGAGGTTCGTAAACTACTGAGGAAAAAGGCGAAAATTGATGATAAAGGGGAAGTTTTACATCCTGTTTATTCTTTTTATGTGGGTTTTCTGAACACAAATTGTTATTTAAGTATTGTTCAGGTTACTTCTACAACTAATTTTCCTGTTGGTGCTGGTTTAGCTAGTTCTGCAGCAGGTTTTGCTGCCATAGCGTTTGCAATGGGGAAGTTATTTGATTTTGACAAAAAAGCAGTTTCTCGAATGGCTAGATTGGGTTCGTTATTAATAATCTCCAATACTCATGATCGATTCCTCCAGGATCAGGAAGTGCATGTCGAAGTATATGCGAGGGACTTGCGCACTGGAAAACCGGAATCGATGAGTGTGGCTCAGATTCATTTGCTCTGGTCAGAAAATTGTGAATTATTCAGCATGGTTGATGTTATTTTCAGTCAATCGCTCCAATATCTCTTTGGGAATCATTAAGAGCCATAATTCTGGTTCTAGATGATTCTGAAAAAAAAATAGGAAGCACCATTGGTATGCAAAGAACTGCTAGCACAAGTACACTAATTGAACTAAGGGTTAAAAAAATCGTGCCTAAGCGCGTTGAAGAGTTAGTAGTTCAAGAGATTTTAAAAATTTGATGCAGCTTTTTTAAGAATCAGAGAAGCTTTTGAGAAGAATGACTTTGAAGAGCTTGGAAGAATCATAATGATGGATAGCAATCAGTTTCATGCCTTATGTTTAGATACCTATCCACCTATCAAGGTAAGTGATATATGCTATAGTGATTACAGAGAAACTTTTTCAGTACTTGAATAATGATTCTTGGAAAGTTATTCAACTTATTCACAAGTTCAACGAAGGAGGCATTAGGGCTGCGTATACTTTCGATGCAGGTCCTAATGCATGTCTGTTCACTACTGAGGTATAATCAATACAGAAAATCTTCGGAATTGCTTGAAATTTTTCAGAAAAATATGGATAATCTGATCACAGCAATTAAGGAGCATTTCTATTTAGAAAACATAACCGTAGAAGGTAAAGTCATATCGCAGAAAAGTCAAGAAGATCCGAACAAGTCCAAAGTGCTAAACATGATTCAAAGCACAGTAGGAAATGGCCCCCGTGTAGTAAGCTGATAATATTGTAGATCGACAGTTTTAGATGTTATTTATTTAACTGTTAATGTTGTTCTTGTTATTTTTGATGGTTAATAAGAAATTCCGAATCAAAGTATTTATGGTTATGAGATTGACTAGAAAAACTCAATTTGGAATCGGAGAAGAGAAAAGATGATATCTAGAACAGCACAGCTTTAGGTGTATTTACAACACTGAGAATCATACTAAAAAGCTTTTTTCTAACTTGCTAATACGATAACGTATTATTCGTCATCCATGGAAGTTCTTCGTAGAACTGGAACAGGGAATCCATGCTTCATATCCTTGGCAGGCCAATCATACGTAGTGTTAATTACTTGTTCATATTCAACCGAGAACAACTGTTGTCGAACAAACATTTCCTGAAGATATGGTAACAAAACATGTGAGGATATGAAAGTATCCAAACCTTATCTTCCGGTTCAGGGTGTAGAGTAGCAAGGTCATGCTTATAACAATAGTTTCCGACCTTAACCAAATAATGAACTCACGTGGAAATTTGATAAATACCTCAACAGCGATTTTAACCGAGAGCTCGCGGATGTCTTTAATTCTAGGATATAAACGAGAATAGGTGTACAAGGATTTTTCGGAAACGGCGTCAGCAACTTTCTAAAAATTTATCTTGCACATTATATCGCTGAAATCAATCCTCACTCTAGCAGCCATGAGGAAAAGTTTATCTGGAATATGCTTGGCTTTGAATACGATTGCGCCAAGAGCGATTCCAGGGAAGATGTAAGCGTTATTTCCCTGACCAGGCTTGAACAATTTCCCATCAAGTTCTACATTATCGAAAGGAGATCCAGAGGCAAAGAGCACAGTTCCCTGGAATGGGGTATATCAAGACCAGAAAAGAAACCATGGAATACATTGGTCACTCTGTAAGCTTGCTCAGCGGTACATTCAGCTTTGCTTGTAGGGTTTGACAAAGCGAAGATGATGGGACGGGGATTTATAAGAGCCATTTCTTTGATAATTTCCTCAGTGAAAGCACCAGCAACAGTTGAGGCTCCTGATGAAAAGATTAAAAAAAAACAATGGATTCAAGACTACCTATGAGAGCTCCTGGTTTCACAGTCTTGACAATCTCAAGCAAATTTTTTGTATCGGGGAGGTCTTTGGCGAATTTTGTGTGACGTTCAGAGAGATGCCCAGTTCTTTTCTTGGTTATGAGTCCATCAATATCAACCATGTAAATATTGTTACAGGCTTGTTCTTCGGTGAGTCCTTCATCAATCATTTGTCGAACACACATTTCAGCGACTCCAGTAGCAGCTCCACCAGCACCCAAGAATACAAACTTGGTTTGAGACAGTTTTTTCTTAGTGATTCTGGTACTTGCTAGGAGACCAGCAACTACAACCGAAGCAGTTCCTGTTCAAAAAAATTGTAAATGTATTGAAGTTGCCGTCTACCTTGAATGTCATCATTAAACATGCAGTATTTTTCTTTATATCTATCGAGAAGTCGATAAGCATTAGAATTTCCAAAGTCTTCAAATTGAATCAAAGTGTCTCGGCCAAATCTTCAATGGATACACATTAATCTCTCGTGTTTTCACCTATTAACCTCTTAGTGCAAGCTTTCATGAAGTTATCAATAAGAGTGTCATATTCTTGGCCACGAACTCTTGTTCTGCGAAGTCCCGTGTAAAATGGGTCATTCAACAATTCCTAAATTAGTATCTTCTTGGTTATAACATACGATGGATGGTAACAACCTTGTTATCAGTTCCAACATCGACAAGCACAGGCAAACACCATGATGGATGAATTCCAGCAAGAGCTACATAAAGAGCCAATTTTCCGACGGGGATTCCAATACCATATGTTCCAAGATCACCCAGACCCAAAATTCGTTCACCGTCGGTGACAACAATAGCCTGAATAAGTGGTTTGAACCCACCATGTTCTAAAAAAACCATACTTTCACTTTATCAGAGGGCCAGTTAGAGAGAATTTGATAAATTTTGCTGATACTGTTGTCATTAATTGTAATGTAGAGACCCCTAAACATTCACCATGTTGCAAAAATAACGATAAGAGAGTGTTTCACTTCGGATTTCGATAGATAGCTCCGAACTTTTGACAAGCTAAGCCAACAGTTGGAGTGTAAACAACGGGCATCAGTTCCTTGATATTATCGGTGAGAACTCGATAGAATAATTTCTCATTACGATCCTGAAGACCGTCCAGCAATGTATATCTTAACAGTTTCATGACCCTATAAAGGAAAATACTCTTACTTCACCAAGTTATCTTTAGTTCCACGGATTCTTGTCATGATACGATAAGCTTGTTGCTCCTCTGTCATAAAAGCAGGAGGAAGCAAACCATGTATTCCCAAGTACTGTCTTTCATACAGACTGAAAGCCATACCCTAAATTTCCCCCCATTTCTACTTTCAAGATCTTTCTCATGCCTTATTTAAGCCTGGCGTTTTGAGTAAGTCCATTCCTCTTTTGGAAGGTGTGACTCTTTCCGGTCGATAAAGTTTGTGCAGAGCCATCTGCTCTGGATCGGATAAGTCATACTCGGGCGGCTTACTGCAGGCAATAGCCGTTGTAGACACAGTGCGAGCACTGAAAGTGAAATTCAATAAATCATCAGTGTGACAAAAAGAGAAAAGATTTGGAAAGTTTTTACTGAACTTACCACTGTTTTTGGGCAATGACACGTAGCATGTTGGAAATGAAAAGACGAGGAATTAACAGCAGTCGCTAGGCGGAACGAGGTGTGTCGTGCGGCTGAAGTAATTTGAAAAATCAGAACACGTAAACAGACAGAAAGCAAAAATCGAGTCAGATCACTGAGAGACTACACATTGTTATGAAGTAGCAAATGTCTTCTTCAGATCGTAAAAATTAGATTTTCATATTTTTCACTGAAAATCGCTAACTCCTGATCCTCAAACACTGGTGTCTTTCAACAAACACCGAATTTTTGTAAGCATCTGCATGTGTATTGAGAGAGAGCACACGAGGCTGTGGAGTTTAAACCACTTCAACTAATTAATGAGAACATCTTTACAAATTTATTACAAAATGTCATACCATTCTTGGAACAGAGACTTGAAATGCATTTTCATTTGTTCATTGGGAATTTAATTTGGCTCATTTCGAGATCACTGTGGTAAATAATGTATGAAACTAAAAAGGAACAAAAAGAATCAATCATTAAAGACAAGCCTGCCATAATTATCTATGACGAGATAACAGTTCGTACTCCAATACGCTAAGAGGTGAATTCAGAGTGAATGTTTCAGCCATAAGGTTAAATTGTATACAAATTCAATAGAAAGAAAATAACCAAACACTTAACAAATATATTAGCGAACATATACTTCCAGCTGAATGTGGGGATGTCAAAAAAATGTACAAATGTTAAAATATTCCTAATGATGTTAATATTGCACATGACTACTGTATGGAAAGCCGAGATGATAACTTTTGAAGAGCTTTTAAGATGCAAAAATAAATTAAGACTGTGACATGTCGATTATAACCTCTGACACCTCCTCTTAACTTCAGGGGGTACAGCATCATCAGGGCCATATACATCGCTTGAGTAGCTTAACACAACATCGCCTGTCGATGTTCGAATTTTGAATTCGGGCCCTATATAAGTATGACGGTAATATGCATCATACACTTTTCCATCAGGCCATTTGACTTTCATCTTAACAAATAAATCATTTTTATACTAGAAGCGACACTCACCATCGCCCCAGGTTCATGATATTTGCCATCACAATCAACGCACTCACACGATACCACATCATTAGCTAATGCATTTTCAGACATAGTACCGTCAAGAAAATCAACTACGATGTGATGGCATGTATCTTTTCCTATAAGTTCGGCGTTCTCTATACGCTTGCCTTCGTCAATGCTAACTATTACTTTTGAATTTACTGAGATATCGCACTTTTCTTCATCTGAAACAAAAAGTTAAAAAATCATATGTACGAATGCGGTTTATACCCCCGAAGAATGTGGTGTAATCATGTTTGCCACAAACCATCGTTGTGCACTGAGGAAAGTCACGGTACTCGAAAACATATCCGGCGCGTTTTCCACATGTTACATGAGCCATTACGGGATCTACCATATTCTTTTCTTCTACCTTCTGATACTAAAATTCATTCTAACAATTAATTCGAAGTAGGCGAACTCACATCATCGGGACAAACTGAGCACTTTATAAGGCCTTCTCTGACATATCCACATACTTCACATTGAAATTTTGAGGTTTCAAATTGATCTCCCTCTAGTTTGATATATTCGGCACTCAGATGTTTTCTGTGATAAAAAAATATTAATGACTCAGTTTGATTGATTAATGCAACCGCGCAACAGCGCTCTAAAGTAAAAATGAACGCTCCAGTCTAGTTACAACCACCGTGCACGTGGTAAAAAAAGAAAATGCTTTCGCTCACATAAAAGGTCTTTCTGACGTTTTCGAAATGAGAACTAAAACTTACAGTCCTGTTAATCTGGGTGCGTATTTATTAGGTGGAGGGACATAACAATGAGATGGTCCTTTCTTTTTATCGAAAAAGCTTCGCCTATAACTCTGGTTAAGATTGCTTTAAAAATTCAATAGAAACCTGTTGAAAAGAGCACAAATAACATGTACATAAGCCGGATCACATCCGTAATTAGCAGGGAGTAAAGCCCCACCCCGCATCTCACATAGAATGCATGAAATTGAAGCTACAAGAGCTAGAGTCTTTCCTCTACATCTAAAGCACTTCCAAGGCACTAAAACAAATCAAAATTGTCAATAAATAGAAGAAAAAAAAGTGAGAACCTTGTTCAGATTCGCCTCCATAGCAGGATGGGTGAACAGTAACTTGGCAAACCGAGCATGTATAAAGTTTCTCAATTTCCAACTCATCGTCGAGAGGTTCATCTCGTTTTGTGAAACATGATAAAGGAAACAAGCGTCGAGACCTAATCATGTGTAATTTTCGAGGAAATGTAAGCTTGTAGTAAACCTGTCAGGAACAGCTGAGAGATTTGTTCCATTATTAGACTTGAAGTAGAAACAAACAGCACAATGAGGAGTTTTCAGGGCATCTTGCTTATTCCATTTTTTCTCTAACTCCAAGTCCGGAGCATTACTAGCGAACATTGGGTCTGGAAAAGACAAGTTCAGTTATGCAAAAAGATGTTACTAACATATTAATTTCTTCCAGTTTTTCCTATCGTCGTCGTATTGTTTCTCTTCTTTGATGATGGAACGGTTGCGAACTATATACCGGCTACGCAATGGAAGAGCTCTCTGTAGGAAGAACATTAAGCGACACCAGTGAAAAAAAGTTATACAATTTTGCACTTCACAGGTAAAAGACCGACTGTAGGTTTAGGTGTGTACCAGTACTCTTTCCATCTAGCGAACTCATCTGCCCTATACTTCTGCATGTAGTCCTATATGTACAACATTATGGGAACAGAGCTCATGAAGGAACATACCGTCATATCTATTTCGACACTATCTTTTGCGCAACGACATAAGACGACATTCTTCCCAAAATCGATCCAACGATCAGTGGCAAAGTTTGTTGATTCAGCACAATTGTAGCCAAGGTTGAACCCCATATGATAGCCCTAGTAAGTATCATGAATTTATTCTAATGAGATATCAAATACCTTGGGAAAGGTTATGATGAACTCATTTGGTCTCTGCATCATAGTTCCAAATGGAATATTCATAGATCGTAATATTTCTGGAGTTACAAGGAAACTTTTGTGTCTAAGGAAGGCCTGAACGGGAACAGTATGAGCTCTCAATCACATGGAGCAAATATACCGGACAGACTGGAGCATATCCAGGGAATTTCTGCATCATCATTCTTTCGAAACGATCGGCAGATTCTTGAGGTATGGCAAACCAATACTAGAACTTAATTTGAGAGCCGGCTTCTATATATTCAGTACCTTTGGTGCTCCAAAATGCAAATAGTTGATAGAGTAAAGATCCATGTCTTCAGAATGGAAAGCAAAGCATGTTTTGTACATCCCAAAATATAAGTAGACTGTATTCACTCCTTTTATCTCAAAACACCCTTGTCAGTCATACGCTTTTTCCATATTTTCATACCTGCCGCTTTTCACGAGTCTCATCTAGAATAGTACCCAGCTTGTTCATATTAAACTCATTGATATCAGGATCATAGAGAGTGCCTTCTGTATCCGCTCCATATATAGGTTTCGTGGCTGTTAGCTGATTGAATATAAAGCTTAACGAATGAAACTGCCCAATTGCACATATAGAATAATCAAATACCGTTCCATTTCAGCCGGTTTGAGGTTTTCCATTTCACGAGGAGCGCTATACTTGGAAGTATGTGCGAGCTCTTTAAACGCTTTCACAGTCAAAGATTTTTTATAAACTTTGTTAACTTTAAGGAAGGTGCCTTTACTATTAATATCAACCTGTTCTTCTACAGGACTGAAGTAGAATAATTAATAGAGTACCAAAAAGAAATTGTCTACCTAAGAATTTTAAAATCATCCATATCTGAATAATCATCTTTTCGAGATGGTCTAGGATGCCATCCAGGAGGAGGCACAATCTAAATCAACGAAGTGATTGTAAATTATGAAAGGCCAGAAAACCTTTGCTATTCCACACGACAAGTGAGCTCCACATTGCTCGATTTTATTTATATATCCTCGGAAGTCTTGAAACTCTTCCATTGTCGGATAAAAAGTCAGGACATTAGTCGTACCAGTAGGAACATGTGGTGGGTGATCAGGTCTGAAATCAATGACGTCACGAAAATTGACAAAATAATTACCTTGAAGGAACATTTGTGATCCCGTCAGAACACTCAGTGCAGTTGCGTGTTGCATCCAATTGATCGTTCGAAGAAGTAGAAGATGATGAATAAGAAGAAGTAGGAGAAGAACTGAATTGAAAAACAATGAGAAGGATGAATTCAACTGTCTGTTTTTCAAACTCAAACACACTTTCAACACCGATGACTTAGAAGAAACATTTAATAGACCATCAACAGTCCATGAAAGGAGTTGAATCGGCGCAAATGTTCCGATTCCCTTCTATCATTTCAAAGAAAAAAGTGGACTGATGGGAGAAAAGAACGCAAAGGAAGGCAAAAGATTAAGTGAAAAAAAACAAACATTGATAATTCTAAAGCAATGGGTGAATAAAAGGCCAAAACGCCAGGTCGAAAAGGTACGAATTGCTTTTATTTTTGCGAAATTCCATAGGAACTTCTGTTAAAAACAGGTGTGAGGAAGCTTACGATTTATTCAGATGATTGCTTTCGCCTCCTGATCCATCGAAATTCATTGTGTTAAGGGCAGCGTTAGTCACTATACATTCTGGAGAGCTGTTGCACATAAGAACCTGTACAACAATTATAAATAATAGAATATCTGTATAAGTAAAACAAAATTAAACTACGAAAAAATGAGCAAGACAAAAATAAGACACCAACACTTTACACTGTGCCCGAGTCTTTCCTATTCACATCACGAATCATTTCTTCGTCATTACTTAATATTTATATAGAAGTGTGCTTCTTCATTTGAATGTTGTTGTTTTTAGTGATGAAGATCGAAAGAGGAGAAAAAAGATATGAAGTTTATAAAAGCAATATGAATAAACTTAAAAAATTAGATTATTATGAGGACATCGACCGCAACACTCAAGGTTCGCCCAGGGACGCGGCCGATCCCGCTACACTATGCAGCGAACTCAATAATAGAAAAGAAAATTCTTGAAAAGAAAATTATTAAATCCACGTTCATAAAATTCACTTTCTCTTAGACAATTGATTTTGTCAAAAACATAAGAATGATTAAAAATCCAATGATATTTTCTAATTTGAAAGCGCCTAATTTAACCATTGCAGACGTGTCTTTCCAATATTTGAAACTCAAAAAGCATCCCCCGATGGCTGTTTCTTTCATTCGAAGCCAAATCTCTAGGCTTCTCTTCTGCAAAGACTCGCGGGAGCTAAACGAGCCCAATACCCCTCAGCGAATTCGAACGAGGCCCCGGCTGTTTGTCTACTATCGATCCTGCGAACATAGGCCGCGTCCCCGCCACATTCGCCGTCTCATCGACTGCAGTCGCGGCCTCGGCCAACCATGGTCGCCCTTTTCGAAGACAGAGAAACGCCATAAAGCTTTGGATTAGGGCCACAACTTGTACAGAATGTCTATGACAAACTAGAGAAAGTAAAATATGTAAAAAAGAGGGGAAAACGTTTTTATGGAAAAACCAATTGATGATCGGTAGGAACAAGCAGGATTTCAAATATAAAATATTGACTACTTTTTTGTTTTCCTTTTATAACGAATTGAAGAGTATTCAAATCAGGAAAGGAGAAGGATGTATCCATTCAAAAGCGGCATAATCTGCTTCTTTACATTTAATTCTACTATAACTTATCCCCAATTCACTCTTCAGCTACGAAATATAACTGAAAATTTTCATTTCACATATCCTAACGTTCACACATATTGGTATCTTATGCCTTTTTTGTTCAATTCCCCTTTATCTTCCCTTTCTTATTCGCCAATGCTCATTCTTCTTGTGACTAGCTCCTTCTGCTTTGGATTAATTCCCCTTTTCCCTCTTTCTCTGCTTCTTTGACTCTCTCTATTTTCAGATATTTTTCTCTATTTCTCTTCGCTCTCCCCTCTTATGCTGTGTTCAAATGTACCCCTCAATAGCTTGGCGTCTCACTATTGCCGCGCACAGCAGTCGCGTGCTGTTATTTTGCCCGCCCTCGCCGTGATCGCGCGTCCGATACGCAGTCGCAGCTCCGCCCACCGCACCAAACGGCGTCCTACCACTCTATTCCTAGCCATTTCTTTTCTAAGCGTCGTCTATTTTCCTCTCTTCTTCGCCTTTTTCGTCCCAAACTTATATATTTTATCTTAGGAAAGTTTTATTTTAGTTGTGCTATACTTCTAAAGTAAAACATTCATTGAGATAAAAGTCTCTTGTTCTACATTCATAGTTGTATGTCATCTCATTACTAAAACTTCAATTATTTTAGAATCGAAATGGCTAAGGCTTCCAAGGCTAGCAAGAAGGCTTCACCATCCAAGGTGGTCAAGAAGACAACAAAGAAATCCAAGGTAAAATAAAACAGGGTATTTGCTTTAGATACAAATTTTTTAGGACCCTAACGCTCCTAAGCGCGCTATGTCTGCTTTCTTCTTCTGGCTCAGTGAGAACCGCGACAGAATCAAGAAGCCCGGTATGGGAGTTTCTGATGTTGCTAAGGCTGCTGGTATTGAATGGGGCAAACTAACTGACAAATCTGTAAGTCTTTCTCTCTTCAAAAACGTTGGGAGTCTGCTCTTTATTCTCTGCACATATTGTGCCGTTTCACTGACCTAGTCAGCAAAGAAGGCTGCAAAGTGACTGGCGTCGCAGGGGGGTAGGCCGCGACACCTGCCACTTGTGCTAGGCCGCGATCACGAGCATATAAGAATAGATGCTGCCATTCAGCGAATAGCAATTATTATTATTAATTGATATCTTTTCAGAAATGGGAAAAGAAGGCTATTGATGACAAGCAACGTTATGAAAATGAGATGGCTGCTTACAAGAAGAAGTAAACCTGAAGTCCCCTTTAATTAATGTAGCCAGTGCTTCTAAGATACTCACTATGTATATATCGCTAGTGATTACTCAACCAACCCTATTGTAAACCTCCACAATTTTTAGTTATAAACACCATGTATTATGCTGTAGCATACCATTCCATTTAAGTCCGAAATGAACGTTTACGTCGCGATCTCCTTCAATATGATCAATAAAATATTGGTGGAAACCATTTGTTTACAATATGAGTTAAAAAGGGCATTATTCATTAACAAGTACAAATAACAACAATAACAACAAAAAAATATTTTACTGAAGGAGTTCCTTCGCAACAAAGTCGTACATTTGGGCATTTATAGCTTTCAGCTTTTTGTTTTCTTCTACCATTGCTCGAATCTTCTCTTCATCCGTGTACTCAACGGATGAATCCGTCTTGACACTATTGGAGTTGGTTCTTTTTAAAGAGGAAGCAGATGTTTCTATTGGCTTGGTTATAGCCACTTCTCTGATCTGTGGTTCACCATGATTGCCAAGGAACCTTTTGGCCAACCCGTCGGCAAGGTCGTTAAAGAACTCAGTAGCCTGAAGTACCAATTTGGATATATCAAAGGATTTCGGCTACACGATTACCTCAGAAGTACTAGATTTACTAACATTCAATGGTATTTGTTTGAATGTTGAAACACCTTTTTCGAGATCTAATGTTGGCTTGGGTAAAGGCGTTATATCCTTAGAGGACAACGTGATCCAATTAGGAATAAATTGGAGAGTTGATATGGCTCCTCTCAACGTGCTGACCTGAGCACATCTGCTATATGGCAAACGGAGTAAATGAACACCAACCTTTAAGCATTGTCTGCTAACAATATCCCATATACAGTATTTTCCTTCGATATCTCCAGATGCTAAGAGTGTACTATCATTATTAACGGCGAGTCTTTTAATCTCAGCAGAATGACCGTGGAAGACAGGGAAACGTTCGTCCTTATCGTCTGCTGTTTGGATGAGTAGTTCATCTCTCCCATCCTAATAAAAAAAGATAAAACAACAAAAGGCTGACGATTTACCAAAGTGTAAAGGTTAATCTGAGCTATATTTCCATTATCAGTACCTAAGAAAATTCGAGTTTCACCGGCATCTATAGTACAACTAGTCAACGGTCTATCCGCAGAAACCTGAAAAAGTAACTGATGATTTTAGTATTAGGTGATGTAAAATACTTTTAAAAGGGCTGTGTTAAGAGATATCGAATGAACAAACGCTACATGATCCATTCCACATGTGACGATTCTAGGGTTTAATCCTTGAGTTATTGCAATATCCATAACATTATTAGAATGAGCCGACCACGTCCTAATTGGATTCACTCTTTGGCCTCTATCAACTGATAATAAGCTGAAAATAATTCATCGATAGGCTTGAAAATTGGCAAGAGGAAGGATACTTACTCAACGACTAAATATACATTTATAGAGCCGTCTTTGGAAATAGCAAAAAGGTATGAATCGTCATCCGATAGAAGAATTTTCGTAATATTTTGATAGAAAGCGTCTGTAACCGATAAAAGTTCGCCAGAAGTTAACTGAAACAAAAACACGTAATACAGAATGATTTTGTTATTGTACTCACCAACCAAACAAAGATTTGAGTCTTAATTCCAGCGAAGACTAGAGAACCATCCGAATTGGTACATAAACTAGAAATCGGACCACCGACTACTGTTTTTATATGATATCGGTCTTTGTTATGAACTGCTATAGCATGTAATATTGGACGATCTTTGATAGGTATCATTAAAACGTCTCCAGAGTTTCCTGAAAATTTTTCAGATACTTGTACGCTTATTCATGCACCAAACCTAAAGGTACAACCGAGGAAGCAGCTCCACCTTGAAGTTCTGAGCCTTTGAAACTCCATGCAGAAACTCCAGTCTTGGGATCCACCACAATAGTTGAATAAGGATCAGCTGATTCCGCACTTATTAATAACATCTGGATTCAATCTTTTTTTTATCATTGCAAAGCTATATTACTTATGAATTACGATGTTTACTATTATTCGAAAATTACAATTTTGCATCTTGAATCAAAAATTCTTCAGGATATAAGGTATTTGTGGGAAAATTAAAATTAGAAACGTAAAAATGGAGTTTCATTTTGCTTCCCAATATCAATTGTGAATAGAGCACGTTTCAATCCAGGATATGACTGCCTTCAGAGAATATATTGTAGTTTCCCATGGTAATTACTTAATAGCTTATCTCCTATATTAATCATAATTATGATCTATGAATAAGGAATAACCTAATTTTCAAGTGTTTCAACTCAATCGATAATTTGTTCCATTGTGTTTGCAAAGAAAGTGATGAGTTGTGAACGTGCGTTATTGTTATGTAATACTCTCCATTTGTTTTAGCGGCTTGGCCTACTTTTTTTGTATAAAGGTTTTTCTTTCTTTTCCCTGTTATTTTGTAGACAAGACAGGGCAGTAAAGCAGTTGGGTCATGTGTCACCTGTGCCGTTTCTCTTAAGTACATCAGGCACTTTGGGTTATTATGGCGCTCTCCTAGGGTGCATTGCAACCCAAGCATAACCTAGATACTTTCTAGGTTAGCCATAAGCTAGAAGGACGATAAAGAACAACAATATGAGGTCGCATGGCGGCCTAACAGTTCTGTGAATATAGCCTAATCTATAGTAAAGGAAGTGGTATCCGGGTAACAAGATATGAAGATTAGTATATTTAATATGAAATGCATATGTGTATGAATGTATACGTGAATGATAGATAAAGCCATTGATTGGCGAGAAAGCAGCCTGATTCGTATATAATTTTATGCTAATGAGATAGGCAAAGCTGGAATCGAACATTTATTTTGCAAAGAGCAGAAGCAGAAAACGGTTGTATTAAATGTTCAAACTTGAAGAGAGCAAGTTGCGAGAAGGGTAGCTACTTCATAAAAATGAGATAACAAAGGAACGTGGCTTCTCACAAATAGTGTTTATCTAATTTTAGGAAAGCTTTTTTACATATCCTCTGTTTCGTTCTCGCACTCGTACTTGATTTTGGCCTTAACCAGGAGCGGTTTTCTAGCAAGACATTCCTTTTATCTCTCTTCAATTCTCAAGAGAATCTCGAACGTTACTCTCTATATAGAAAGAAGGCTTGCTTCGAACATCGAAAATACATGAAGCATCAAAATGTCGGCTTTCACTTCGCACAATAGCTTCTATTCCGGAAAGGAGGTGGGATCTAAGACGATCATCTCAAATATCGTATTAGCTGAAACTGTAGGGTCATTCCCTGATTCAGATACCCTCAGGCTATACGAAAGCTCTTTGTTTCCTCTCAAACAAATAGAGAGTTTAAAACAATCCTCTATTCTTCCATCGAACAATAACTGATATCGTTCCATTTTTCTATTTGAAAAAGATAATTTAACTTCTGTTTTATTTTTTTTCCATCTCGATTATCGTTGGACACAATACATTTTCTATTTATCTTTAACCATGTTGCAACTATTTGTATAGGTTTCTATATAAAAGCATGGATTTGAATTCGAAAATAATAATTCAGTTCCGCTTGTTTCAGCCTTCTCCACAAGACCAAAAGTTAAATTAGTACTTTACCATAAAAGGATGAAAGTTCTGTTTGCTATTCTGCTCTGTTTAGTTATTTCGTCTACGAAATGCACAATTTCGAAAGAACACCAGAAAGCCATTGAGGTTTGTCAGTCAATCGAAAAATTAGTTCAAAAAGAAATAAAAGATGATAAGTTTCGATGAATTTTTTTATTTGCTGAACTTAGTGCAATCGAACTCATTGACTTAACATTTTTGAACTGACGTTTTTTCTTTTCAAATATAATCTGTTAGCGTAGACGAGAGAGAGAGTTAAAGTTTTCCAAAGATCGTCCATCTGGTTTTTTTTTCGAACAGAAGCTTTGAAATTTTTTTGGAAAGCTGAATGAATGCATGGTCAACTGAACAAATAAAAACATCCCACACGAATTAGCCCGTGAATGCTTTCATAAAGAGAAACTTTAATTCCCAAATGTTTGCTTGATCTAATTGTGAGACGTGTCAAAATTACAGTCGGAGGTGTCTTAAAAACAAATTTCAAGAGCTTTTAGAACATATTGGAGCATGCAGGTGACAAAACAGTCTCAGCGATCTTCAACGAAATTGAGCAGGTTGGAAGATGTTTTCTTTTCGAAACAAAATGGGTTTCAGGTTGTCAGCAGCATGGGATCAGGGGCTCAAGCTGATCATGAGAAGTGGAAAAATGAAGTACGCGCAGAGAACAAGAAGAGGGAGCTAGCTATGAAAGTATGAGCCAATAAATAAGCAAATGTTGAATCGTATTTTAATAGGAAGCCATTGACGATTTATCACCAGAAGCGAGAGGAAGGCTTGTTAGAATTATTATGGTTGGTTTGTAAATACGATTTATCAATTTAACGCTATACATGCAGGTTCAACAGAATGCCATAATGACTCAAAATGAGAAGAGAGAGTTGTTAAGGAAAATCAAGTATGATATGGATGAAAAAGTGAAGCAGGAGCTTCTTTCCAAGATCCCTGAGAAAACACTGTTCAATACAATTCTCTGAATTTGAACACAATGGAATATGCCTTCAATCCTGTGATGTATTTATATGAGTTGTCACTATATACGGGGAAAAATGAATAAATTTGAATATGAATGTCTGAGAAGATTTTTGTCCTTGTCATGAACATTCTGTAAAAAAAACGGAAGTGATCGTTGGACCTATATACTCGCAACCACTTAGTACGTCTGCACCTTCAGAAATAAAATTAAACGATAACGGTGCTCACGTGATTTTTGACGTTCAAAGACATTGTGGGAGTTTGCAAACACGTGAACGATCCACTTACAAGACCAGCAAAAACTTTTAACCTTTGGTTTTAAATCAGATTTACAATGGAGAAAGACACTATTTGAGACTGAAGTCCATCAATATACAGTTTGAAACAAATCAGAAAAAAGACAGATTAGTTTTAGGAGTATTGTTTGTTTATTGTAATTATCTTACGGCAATATTTGATAATCATTAGCGGCTTTAGTTCGGGCAGTATTTGAATTAAGGATTTCAGGAGTTCATCTATCAAACGGTAGGCAGTATATTAGGTAGTTCACATGGCTTTTTCAAATTCAGTTTCTTTGAGGAAGAATGTTTGCATTCAAGGAAATTCTTCTTATCTTGTCGTAATGATTTTTTTTGGAAACTTTTATTGCTGAATTTGTATGTGAAAGACCAAGATATGTAACACCTAACGTTCCTAAGAACTTGGCAACTTCTCAATACGTACATACAGTCGCACGAACTATTTTTTCAGAACTTGTGTGGCTATGTTTAGTAACAGTGTTTGGAGTAAGCTGGCTGAACTTGTGTCATGAAATTAAACATTCATTTTGATCATTCAAACTTCTGTCCCTTAAACGCTTCACACCTTAGCTCTCGAACCATTGTTTACTCGCTATCTGAAGAATGTCTTTTTGCAGATTAAAATTTTAACAAGGGATTACAAGTAGTTAGTGCTCATATTCCTTTTAATAGGCGCTCCCTTTTTGGTTTATTCTCTTATCATCTCCTTGTGTGATTCTCTTTCTTATGATTATCAGAGACGCTGGTGATGTCGAAGAAGGTAAGAAATCGAGAGAAAGAATACCGAAAAGTTGACTAGCCTAGCTTGTCCCTCTTCTATCTATTCCTTTACACCTTATCTTAAACGCTTAAATATGTATATTATCCATTCAGTAGTAGTCACATCACTCAAGTTTCCCTTTTAAACTGTCTTTATTCCATTATGAATCAAGGAGATTCAGAAGAAGGTCCTGTACGATACATATAGGTTCCTGCTTCTGTTTCTTTCATAAATCTCAATAAATTTCGTTTTCTCCAATTTAGCTTTAATTTCCGTTCTAGGCAATGACAGTTTCAACTTCTGAAAATGTTCGGAAACGGGCAACGACTGAATCAACAACAGAAGACAAGACTGAGAAGGGAGGACGCAGTGAAAAGATGGGTCTTTTCGGAGCTATATCCTATATAGTAGGAAACATTGTCGGATCAGGAATTTTTATTACTCCTGGTTCTATTCTCAACCAAGTACATTCGGTGAGTGAAAACTCTTGTATGGATATCACTGGGGACCCGTACCTTTAGTTAAAATCAAGAGGAAGTGTTCTTTTCGGAATCTGGGGTGATACAAGACTGCTTGATAAGGACACATATATATTCATTAGTTAATAGCTAACAGTTTTCGTGGAAGCCATTAATCTTCGCTCCATTCTGACGGAATGCTTAATTATGATCACTAAAGAGGCTTTTCCCATAAAACAGTGCATTCTTATTTGCTGACACGTAAAAGGCCAGATATAGACTTTGCACCTCTAAAACTTTGGGACCAGTCAGGGAAAGACAGTAGCGAGATGATGGAGAACGATTTCAGGTTGGACTCTCTATGATAGTATGGGTGTTGGCCGCTTTTATATCTATGCTAGGAAGCTTCTGCTATGTAGAACTAGGAACATCAATCCGAGTATCTGGAGGAGATTTCGCTTATCTTTGTTTCATGAAATGGTAAACGAGAATAGTTTCTTTTTGTGAATTTCACCTTCATTTTAAGGTACCCAGTAGCTTTTGCGTTCATGTCAATCGGTTGTACCATTAACTACCCCGCAACGTTAGCTATCCAGGCTCAAACTTTTTCCGAGTATATATTTACGGTGAGAATGAATTGATATGCGTAGGTACTTTACCGGAGTTTAAGGCTTTTGATGTCGTGATGGACTCCACGTCTGAATACTGGGCAAAAAAACTCTTAGGGTTTTCCCTGATTTGTAAGAATTTTCAAGTTTCTCCGCGTATTCTTGGATTTTGCAGGGCTGCTACTTTTCATGAACTTCTTCTCTTTAAAAACTTTTGTCTCCAAGTTTCAAATAGTTGTTATCTTTGCCAAAATTGCGGCAACTGGCCTCGTTATAGGAATAGGATTTTATTACTTGATTTTCAAAGGTCCTTAGTTCTCATTCATACTGAATGAATAATCTTTTCGCTTTTAGGAGATACTGAAAATATAAAACAGCCTTTCCATGGCACCACGTTTACCATTGGAACTTTCGTTAATGCACTTTTCGCAGGTTTGTTCTCATATGACGGTTGGGACATCCTGAACTTTGGAGCGGAAGAGATTGACAGACCTAAAAGGTGCCTCATAGATTATATTACTTAGCTCTATGATTATTTTATAGAACAATGCCTTTGGCTATAGTGATTGGAATGGTTTGTATAGCCATCATTTATGCAGCCGTTAATTTCTCGTACTTCGTTGTCCTCCCTGTATCAGTGATAGAGGACAGTCCAGCTGTGGCTATGGTTCTAGTAGTTAGGTTTACATACGATCACGCATAATTTCAGGCACTTGCAAAACAAACTCTCGGTAAAGCATCGTTTATAATGCCGATTTTCGTGGCTTTACTTTTGATCGGATCCCTCAACAGCACCATGTTCTCTGCTAGCAGGTATGAACCGAGAAACCAAAATGAAATAGTTATTTTCCTACCGCGAAAGAGAGAAATCAGTACGCTGGAACGAAAGACTAATTAATCATGCTCAAACCTTAATAGACACGTGGTTGAAAACTGATAGCATAATTATCAACAATGTAAGAGTGAAGTGAGAACGGTGAATCGAACTGTCGGGAGAATTTTACCAGAGAGCAACAAATGATCAAAACATTGTTTCAAAGATGAAAGATGAATCTAGCCAAGTACACTAATTGAATGAGTAAGAAACATCTTCCTTGTTTTGTAATTTAACGTGTAGAAGTCTAATTCTTACATGTGTATAAAATTCTACCACTTTCACTAATGCATCCATAGATCATCTATCTTTAAGATATCTTCAAGCAGTAGCGAAGCAAGGCCATTTGCCTTCTGCCATCAGTGGTTTGAATCCAATCTGCGATTCTCCTCGTGTGGCTCTTTTCATTCATGTTAGTGAATAAGACTAATTGGAAGTGTCAACACACATTTTTCAGGTTTTAATTTCAATGGCGATCTCATTCACGGGTAATTTAGATAATTTAATTAATTACGTTTCGTTCGCGCAATGGTCTCAGCGTGCTATAACAATGATCATTGTTATGTACATTAAGATAAGGTAGCCAAGCCTTCAAAAAAAGTACAAACAGTTGGTGCTTTAGACATGTCCCTGTACATCCAGATGGAATTCGAATGCCTTTCGTGATGCCTCTACTCTTCTGCTTCGTCTGTTCCTCATTAGTGAGTGGTTGCAAATATACTAAACTATCAAGACCAACGCTCTTTAGGTTATAATAACCATCATTGAAAGTTTTAATGAAGCAGCTGTTGGATTAGGTTTTGAAACGATAATAGAAATTTTCAAAGAATCTATTCACAGGTATTCTTCTGGGTGGCTTGATTGTCTATCTGATATTTGTCTGGGAACGCACCCTCTCCTCCGTTAAAGCGTACCAGAAAATCATGGGAGACATTAATGGTGGCGTTTTCTAATTTTCTCTTGTTCAATTTGAGTCTTGCAGAAAGCACAACGAAATTCGCACAAATTGTTTTTGACGTCATGCCCGAGCGATGTAGTGAGGAAGATGCTTCGAGAGCGATTGGGCAGACCCCGCAAGTTTTGTCCAGCAAAACTGTCGATACGACATCGAACTATGATATTGAAAGGGCGTCTTCTCACTCTGAAGAATCCACAAGACTATAGATATTTGTACATATGATTTGAACACATCAAGTGATTATAAAGAAACTATGATTAATTTTCATCAGGATTCAAAAGTATCAACAAAAAGAAAAGCGCATAAAACGCCAACCAACAACGTGGAAAAGAAGTAACAAAGCGAACAACGAAACAACTCGCCAAATTTGAGCGAATTTCAACATTCCTCATGCGACTTAGACAAAAGTAGACCGGATACATTAAAACAACGAGCACGAGGACTCAAGACTTGAGCATAACTTCCACTTCTAGGAATAAAAACACGGAACGGCTATCTATCTCTAATAGAAGCTTTGTCACAGTCAAGAAATTGTTATGAGCCCATGGTGTTAAGACAAATCCTAATTAACGAAAAAAGATAATAAATAGATAAAAAGATCTACTTTAACAAAAATAGAGATACACGTTTGTTCTGCTTTGTGGGAGAAGAACTTATCTCCTCGCGGTTGCTGAGGGAGTGGCCGTTACAAACTCGATAGTACCTTGGTTTACACGGTTCGGGTCCGCAGCGGGACGGAAACCAAGGCAAGAGCCATCAACAACTAGACGAGTTCCCTAGAAGATAACAAATGAACATTTGATTTGTATTATACAGACCTTCTTTTTCTTTTTCCCAGCAGAAGTAACCGTAGCAGGTGCAACACTAGCACTGGAGAGATCCTGAAAAACAAAAATAGAACTTAACTTCACTTTTTCACTATACATCTTTGTCAGTTTTCCTATTACGCATTTCACATCTCTTCTGTAAGAACTCTTTTACAAACTCCTTCGATGCCTTCGAAGAACCCAGATAACCTTCGACATAATCTTCTACCTTAAATCCAATGAAAGTATGCAAAATTCACATTAGAAAAGACTTGCCTCATTGGGATTCTCAACAGACTTCAAGAAATCAGCAAGAACCTCAGCATCCACACTGTCGTTAAGTTGTTTAAGACGATTAACAACCCATGATTTGAAACTGTTTTCCTGTAATAAATAGAAAAGTTTCTATAACATTGAATAGATGAACTTTTACATCGCTTCTACTTCCTGAGCTTTTCGAAACTGATACTTGCTTAACAGGAGCGGGCTTCGGAGCTACTACTTTCTTAACTGGAGCTGGAGCAGCTTTGTTAGCTGCTTGGAGAGTGGGACCATCCCAGTTAATAGAAGGAGATGAGCTGGGAGCATCTACACCTGCACCACCCCAAGCAACTTTGGAAGAGTTAGTCTTTGCAGGTTGATTCCAGTTTAATCTTTGGGTAACGTTAGACCAAGTTCCAGATGATTGAATATTAGCGGCGACAGTTTCTTCACGTTTTCTCGCTTTCTCCTCCAACTCTAACTTCATAAGCCGTTCCTCTTCTTCTTGAATTTCCTTAAGAGTTTTCTCTGTTTTACTTCCAGAAGAAGGTGTGATCCAAGCAGCTACTGTGATGAAATATGTTATGCATGTTTTATAACAGACAAACCTTTAGGTGCTGCTTTTTTAGTAGGTGCCTGCTGCACTATCCATCCATCATCTGGTGCGCTACTGTACGTTTCGGAAGAAGCGGTAACAGTCTAGTATACGAGTACATCTTAATAATTTATACTGAGCCCTAACCTTCCAAGGTGACTCCTTCTTTATCTGCGAAGCATTTCTACGTACTTCTTCTTCCATTCTCCATTCTGTCTTTTGACCTTTAGCAGCTCGTAGTTGCTCTGCCAATGCAATATCTTCAAGGCGACGATTTTCTTCAATGATTCGACGTTTTTGCTCCTCCTCTGCTCTCTTTCGTTGTTCAAGTTCTTCTGACTCTTTTCTTTGTTGTTCTTCAGCCTATCGTAGGAAAAGTTATGGAAGAATATAGTAAAACTTGAAACCAATCTGAGCATTGCTTGGTGCATTCTGATTCGTTCAGCATCTTCTTCCTTCTTTAACTGTAAAGCGTGTCTACGGGCTTCTTCTTCCATTCTCCTGAAACAACGGGTTAAAGAAGAACAGTATCTCTAGTGAACACCTCTTTTCTTCATTCTCTCTCGAAATTTTCTCCTCCATCAATCTGAGTTCCTCTCTCAGTCTAGCTGCTTCAGCTTCTTTTTTCTAGAAGAATTGAAAATATTATGAGTATCAACATCCCCAATGATTTACTTTCTGTTTTTCTAGAGCTTTGGTTAATTCAAGTTGTTCAGCCTCTCTTCTAATGCGCTCGTCTTCCAAAGCTTTATTGATGTTCTCCTTAAAGATTTCTACTGTTATATGATCACAGCTGTTGGAAACCTCTTTTCTTTTTACGGCTTCTTCACGTTCTCGCATCATCTTTTCTTGTTCCTCCGCTTGCGCTTGCAAATTAGCGATCATCGTTTCCTTAAATTTGAAAGAAAAGTCCGAACAATCATTGATATAGCAGTATGGCTTCATATCAACTAAAAAGTACCGGTCTCTGAGATCCCATAAAACGCATATCCGCAGTGTGTGCAGGATAATTGATCATATTAACAGTAGAGGGCTCGTTCCAAAGAGATAAGCTTGTAAATGGATACATTTGGGCAGCTAAAGTTTGATATGGTTCAGTGTATATAACCACTATTCACCTCCATGAATATTTGGATTTACCACAGTCTCCTCTTTGAAATCAAACGGTTTTCGAGCACCATTCAGTTTTTTGAGCTCTCCTAGATAAAATAATGAGGAAAATCATGAGATAGATGAAAACCTAGGGTTCGGAAGGAAGTATCACAATCTCTCTTGACTTTCAAGTCGTCATTGAAATAGCCATTTTCAAACCAAGCATCCATTTGGAGCTAAACAATTGATAACTTGGAACAATGAAAGCAGGAAAAAACCTTCGGATATGGACCATGCACATTATCTGAAGGATCCATGTATTGGAACTGTGGTGGTTGTGAAACCAGAACACTAGTAGTAGGCAAAGCGCTTTCATAAGCTACAGGAGCAGGCGCAACATGACTCGACAAACCACCAACAACAGAGGCTCCCAGAGCAGAGTGTGGGTTTGACACAGCATGACCATGAGCAGCATGCATGTTATGGAGAACAGGCATCCCACTAGCAGTTTCGGTCATCATTTGCTGCCTTAATCGTTGTTGTGTAATTTCATCTGAAGAAGTTCGAGGGTATGCACGATTCTGAAATGTGAGGAATAAGATTGCGAATATTGAACGTGCTTACAATATTATTAGATACAGGCTCTTTTTTTTGCTCAGGTCTTACCCAAGAATTCACCTCAGGCGATATCTTTCTTTCATTAGACGTAATATTATTAAGTTGGGTATCAATAGGCTAAAACGAAAAGAAGTTAAGGAGCATTGTGAAATTCATAGAACCTTCGACTGTTCTCGATATGCACCTTGTTCGTCAAATGAGCCAGGACGACTCGACAACGCAGATTCTCTATAAATACAATTTTAATCAAACAGAACTGAACAAAACAATTGTATATTTACACGTACTCTTTGTCTCCATCAGCCATCCACTCCGGCATACTAGCATTATCATTTTTCCAAGGAGTTTGAGAATTTTCTCCATTCCAGCCTTTAAAAAAATCTTGAATGAGCATTGCTGCGAAAAGAGAGACCGGCGGCACTATCCTTGCTCCAAGCGTTTTTGTTTTCTTTCTCTTTCCAAGTAGTCTTTACAGTAGTCCATCCAGCATCGCCAGCTCCACTTGTTTCCGTATCATCGCTAGTGCTACGAAGACGATTGCGTGGCCGATCTAGTTGGAAGCTAATGAGTATGAGAACAATAAATTGGAGAAACCTTTAGGATCGCGAGGATCATAAAGTCCTTGGGCTCTAGAATTGAAATTAGCACTTGCTGTTGTGCTACCGCCCCTAGCCAAAGTTGCGCCCCCTCTTCCTCCACGAGCAGCAAATCTTGCATTATAGTATCCTTCCCTCGTTTCATCGGACTCTCTAGGTGAATCTCCAACTCTGGCACCTCTGGCAAAAGGCCGAGGCCCACCGCGGCCAGTAGAAGCTGTTGCCTGAGCGCTACCACGGCCTAAAGCGATTAGCATACATTTGAAGAAGAGAAGCATAATAATTACTTGATTTGACTGGAGTCCAGCCACCACCCCCTCCACCACCTCGAGAGCTATTCGGAGTAGTACTTCCAGCATAGGCGGCACCGGCAGCAATGCTATTTCTCTCAGCATGTGATAACTGGGACATTGCTTTGGATGAATTAATATTCTGTTGTTGGCGCTAAAATTCGGTTTTTTGTGCATTATTAATTGAGGTCTAAACCTGTTCCGCCTCGGTTAATGGGAAACAAACAATTGGTAGAGCACCTTCTGCGACAAAAAATGGACAGTTACTTAATCCTATAGGCGGTTGGCTGATCTTTTCCATTAACGCTAATAAATCTTCTCGCCCATACCGATTTTCGACAAAAACGGGGTGGCTCAAAGTATGATCCTAAAAGAGTTTCAGCAAACGAATGTTTATACAAAGTACCTCCTCTTCATTAACTGAAGCTCGAGGTGATGACGATATTCCACCATGAAATGCGGAGCGAATCCTACCAATGATATTAAGTTATATTCGATTTCAATACAAAAAAAAGATGAACTAACCAAGAAGGGTTAAAATTAGCTTGCTGAACTGGTTCAGCGGGAGCAGATGCAGCAAAAGACATAACGTAAAAGTTCTAGAAAACTTGCATTTTACTAAGTACCAGAAAAGTAATAAAGAGTAATGAAAAAGTTAATATAAACGATTTTTCTCGATATGTTTTATTTCTTGTAAATATTCCGATGTTCTATCTATAAATTGGAACAAGCTGACAGAATAGGCTTTTCCAGGGATTCGATCCTAAACCAACGGCAGAGAAAGGCTCGATATGCTACGCAGACGTGACGCATTTGCAATGGGACAACTGGTATTGGCATTGGAGCACATCAAAATATGTCCACCACGAGAAAGTACAAACCAGTTCTCTTTATAAGAAATACAGTAATTTATAGTGAAAACATCAAAATTATTATTAAAGCAACAGTCACTCATTAGATCATAACAACATTTATTAGCGAATACATTTATTTATGAAGGAAGTTTTTTGTTCACTCCTGACAATAGCAACTGATTATACTCAGACTGTAAATCCAATACCTGTAGAGTCAGACTTTGTAATAAAAGAACTTATAAGAGCTCACATTTTTCTTTAAAACTTCATAGTTATGATCAGCTTCTCTGGTTTCAATTTGCTCTTTCAAGCTGTCATTACTTTCAAGTAGAAGATCCAAACTTTTTCTTATGCTCTTAGTCTGATAACAAACAACTTCTTGTTTGGTATAAATGTAATGAATACCTCTGCATAATTTGGGTTCGCATCTAATTCAGATAGTATATCAGAGAGTTCATTCTGAAGACCAGGAAGTCTTTTCTCATTTTCCTCGACTTCATCTTGAATCAGCTCTTTTCTCGAATATAAATGCTGAAAGAATTTGTGAAAGCTTTAGTTCTGTCTAATAATATACTTGTAATCTGGTGCTTGCATAAATATTCGAAAGCTACTTACTTCGATATCATTTCCTGTTTCATCTAGGTCTTCATCTCCATTTTCAAACTCTTTGGACTGCTCTTCTAGATCGAGAATTCTTCTGTTCAACGTTTCTACTTCGGAATGTAACCGTTCTTCCATTTCGTTCAAATCTATCATCTCTTCTTGTAATCGAACATGAGCTGTAAACGAGATATTATGGAACAAAATCTTTGCATCGTCCGACCTTCCTTAAGATCTTTTGCTGATGCCTGATTACGTATTGAAGAACTCAGCATACCAACGGCGTCAATATCAGTTATATTCGATTCTATGCTTATCTAGAAAGAAAACACTTAAGTTTCATCGCAGATAATATTTTCTCACTTGTCCTATATTGCTTGATATGTTTTGCAAATTTTGAACAATGGCTTGACTGTATTCTTCCATCTCCATTGCTAACAGTCTTTTTTCATCTGGATAACTCCGTAGGAAATCTTCTATTTGCTGCTCTTTCATAGCTAGTTCACGATAACGTTCATTATTTTTCACTTAATGCAAGAAAGCTCATTATGAATTTTAGAAAACTCTTATACCGAATTTAGATTCATCGTTTTCAAAATCACGTAACTCTTCTGTATACTGTTCTATCTGTTCATTGGTTTGCTCTATCCTGTGATAATGTATCCAGATGATTGAAAATAGTAGTGCAACTTACTGTTTTTCCATTGTTTGGATTTCTTCATTGCCTTGCTTGATTTGTTCAATTATTTTCTGTTTTTTCTGATCAGGTGTTTCCTCTAACCCTTTCTCAGTTTGCAATTCTTCTTCTTTTTTCTTGAGCGTTGCCAAGTTTTCATACAACTGTACTGAAAATATATCCTAACTTCATTAATCTAGTCACTCAGGGTACCTGCTTTCTGCTTCAAGGGAGAGTTTTCGAGCTCAATCTCTAGCTGTAGCTTCTTATCATCTAATACCGCCAGTTCAGCTTGTAGTTGGTTCACTTCAGATCTCAACTCCTCGTTTCTTTCTTTAAGCTCCTCATACTGGTCTCTGAGTGTTGGGTCCTGAACGATGTACAAAATTAGTTGTACTCAATTGCTATTAAACCATTGAGGCCATGAGAGCTTGGTTTTGACGTTTCTGCTCCTCGATCGCTGCCGTTAATTCTTCTGCTTCTTTCTCCCTTTGTTGTCGCTCGAGAAAAAGTTCTTGAACCGAAGCATCTAACTGACAGTTTGCATAATGAGAAAAACAACTGAATCAATCATTACTTCATCTGCTGAATCTTTGATTCGTTGAGACTCCTGTTCAATTTGTGTCATGTCTCCATTGGTGTGCATTCTATCAATTATCTGTGAACTTATTGATTGTATCACTTAAGAGAGCCTGAGCCTGCATACCACATTCAAATCAATCAGTTTACCCTGTAGTTCTTTTATTTCCAGCGCACTTTCTTCAGCTCTAACATCCCTCATAAGTGTTGAATAGATAATTGAGAATAAAAATTACCTTCTTTCGTAAGATACAAGTTCAACTCTATCCTTTTCTCCTCTCCGGAAGACATTTTCCAATCGTGCCATTTCAGCATTCAGTTGTCCTATCCGTGAGCGTAGAATACCGATGAAGTATGATTTATCAAAAACTTGACGCTGACCTCAATTAAGCTAGAATTAAGAACGGCAAACATTTATCTAGTTACTCGCTGTTCCTAATCTACTGACTGCGCGTCCACCACTGAGACCTTGTTGAGTTAACGGTCTTATGGCAGCCGTAGGTGGACGAGCCATTCCAGTTTGTGGTCTAGGCGCTCCAGCTATCTTAATTAGTATCAGATTTACACATATTTTCTATAGACAAGCTGAAAACCATGGATCCTGTTGTTGGGCGAGCTGAGGCAGTCGGTTGCCTCATACTTTCTGCAGTGGAAAGGCGTCCGAGCACAGATCTGCTGGATGGACGAACTACGGCTCCATTTGAAGATGAGCCTACATAAAAAAAACAGTATTACACATTTATAATTTTAAAAAAGGGTGGTGATGAGAATAAATAGGCTTTTTACGCTATCCACAAACCTGCTTGTTGAACCGGAGCTGCAGTAGGCGGACGTCTTGAGGCTGTCATAGCTCTTCCACTTGATGTTTTAGGTCGAGCTGAAGGAGGGCGAGACATATTCCCTGAAAAAAGTGAGTAAATGTAATGTGATAAAGATAGAATACGCAAGTTGGAAATATTCTGAGTTCAAGGAAGATGAATCAGTTCAAGTAGCCTATTCGTTTAAACAATTCTGCATAGTTTTGTTAGTTTTGCGGGTTATTACTGTCGCACTGTTATATTATGAAAAGAACTTGAAAAAAAAATATAAACAGTAATATCGAGAAAACGTTGTTTCACTTCCAAGTTATTGTACAATTTCATTTAGAGCGTCGCTGCCGAGAAATGAATGAACGGATGTATACGGTTGCTATGGTAACACCTCCCTTGAAAGTCACTGGGAAGAAATCCATACCTATATTAATGAGAACATGAGTTTTCATACTTGTCATTCAATGAATAAAGAAAATAAGTTTTAAAAAGATGATTTGATTATATAGGAGATAACTTGATAAAATATCAACCACACTACTCGATTGAGTCAGTTACCTTTAATGAGGCAAAAAACACAATGATACCAAATCCTCAATTTCCAATGAAATGAATCACCATTTTGAACTGAAAAAGTAATGTATGCTATATATGGGTAGTATTCTAATTTCCTGTACAGAACTAAGCCATTTTGAGAAAAAAGGCTGAAAAAACAAGTCTCTTCAAAGACTGTAGTATTCAATGAAATTAAGCGATAACAATCATGAGTTCGAGAATTGTTTTTTCAAAGTTAAGAAATATCGAGAGATTATTCGAAATAATCATTTAAGACTTCGTACTCTCTCTCTGTTTTTGCTATTTTCCACACAGCCAAGGTTTCCTCATTATATCCTTCTGCGCAAAGTTCCAATGATTCTCATGAAAGCATGAAAGATGTGTGTAAATCTATCCTCATAAGTATTTTATTTTATATTCTTTTTTTCTCATAACTGTAGGGGGGGGGGGGGAGAAGAAAAAATGGCGATATAATCACGAGAATGGGTTGGAAGCTTATATAAGCAGATTAGTAGCTCATCCGTTGTTCAACAGATTTCCTGTATTGGGCTTATCTATTCGTTCCTTCAAGGAAACCATAATATATTTTCTGTATTCTTCTATGAAATATTTCAAGTTTTTTTCGACTTTCTGTCGTCTACTTTAAAGTTCATTATATACTTAAAAGATATAATTTCAAATAAACTTGTTAAGTTATGCTCTATTCCAAGCTAGACGTTCAACGACATGAACAATTACAGTTTATGTACTCTACTGTTCGAAAATGAACGACTGGAAGTTAATAGACTCAAGCACAAACAGTGTTCAGATTTTGTCTTCTATCAGAAAAATGAGAGCTGGTGGAACGGTTGTTACAGAGGGATATAGTGTTCACGATGGGCTCAATACAAATCTTTGTTCCCTTCGTCTAAAGCTATTTTCGACATACGAACGCTGTCACTCACTACTGTGTCTAGTCAAAACGATTGATGCGCGAGATTGAGATGATGGAGGTGGGGGCTCGAGTGCCGATGTCCTTCGGCATTTCATGTTTCGTTGTATGATGAAACCCAGTCTTAATATACAAATAAGCTTTCATAATTAGACAATATGTAGATTTCCGAAGTGGAGGCGTGTAGAGTCCCTTCATTTTTCAAGCTGCGATTAAGCTATCATCCCTTCATTCCAGAAGTAAAATGAACGTAACGTCCTTCTCTCTTATTCTGATTCATCCAGGTCCATTCAATTCAATATAATCATATATAAGAAGTTCATTATGATATTCCTCATATAGACTATGTTCTTTTTTTCAATTCCAAACTTTAATAAGTCATTTTGGGATAACTAATTCATTTTATTCAAATGTTCCCTATTTTGCTCCAATTTTTGGTTCCATTAATATCATTTTCGATCTAGCTCAATCTATCGTTGAATATAAAAGTTTTCTCGAAGCACATAATTTAAGCTTTAGCAAATAACAAAAACTGATAATCTGTTCAAAACATTGACATTTCTTTCACATCTCTACTTGAACTTGTCATCCTTTCCCTGAAAGTTTTTTGCTCTTCATTCACTTTTCTTTTTGTTGTATTAATGGAAGCAAAAATTTAAATGATATTTCCATATAAGGCATCAGCTGAGTTTTCTAGGGTTTTCTTTTTTCTATTCCTCCAACTCATTTTAACATTTTGGCAAATTCATCATCATCTACATAATCGAAAGCATAAAGCAAGCTTTATGAGTAAAGAATCTAAGATGAAGGAAAAACAGAATAAATTTCTCATTTCACTATCTAACATCGATAGAGAGCACATCTGACTCGACTTCCGTTTCTTTAGCCTTAATTCAGTTTTAAAATATTATGAAAGTAAGCGAATTATTGATTGTCCTTACAAGATATTATTTCTGAGATGAAAACTGATAAAAAGGTATAATAGTGAGAGATGAACGGATCAAGGAAGTTTTGACAGAAACCGAACAAAAAGACGTATATCTATCTAAGAGAGAGAATGGGAGAGATGAGAGTGCTGTATCATCATTTGAGAGAGAGGGGGGAGGAAAAGAGGAAGAAACGAAGAGAGATTCAAAATCCCGAGCTCTTCTATCAGGCTTCTCTACTTTATCAATATATGTATGTCAGGCCAAAATAAATTCCTCTGTTTCTTAATACAAGAGATATTTGGCAGACAAATGTGTGCCATTTAAACATCAGAATGTACATTCTGCCTACTTTTTGATTAGAAAGTCTTATGTCTTCTCATGTCTTCCATCCATCCAATTCTTTTACTTCAACTTCTGTTCCTAGCAAAATCACTTGTCAAAACGTATGTGGGCTCAATAAAATCCATCACATTACTCTAGTAAAGAATTTAATCATTTTACTCGCTTTGGATATCATTTTCCTGCAAAGAATGCTAATTTAAACCTGATAGCCTGCTGGCTTCATTTTTTCCACGCAAACTTCTGAGAGCATCCTTCTTTTGTCGCTAGAATTTCTCATATGAACTAAAATGAATAAGAATGCTCATAGAAGTTGAGGAAGTAAGACAATGATTCCAATTACTCTGCCATTTCCGCTAAATTATAATTTTTTCTCAGTACACCAAAATAGGCAAGAAAGCAGACTCAACTACAATTTGCTTTGCATAGACTATCTGACTATACGCTGGGAGATAATTTACACTCGATGTTTTCCTACATACAGCATTATTTTTAAAGAATGCCTTCTATGTGATCGAGGGAAAAGCTACTAAAATGAGATATAATCCATACCTATTCATACTAGTCTTGTTTAATGTAAGTATGTGAGGCCTTCTTATCTATAATAAGCTTCTCATGTATAGCTCATGTACGTCATTTGATGAAGAAAAACACATATTCAGCACTTCATTGCCATTCTTGGTGTCCGAACTTCTCCTTCAAAATGTTCGTTTGACTCATGTTTAATGAATGTAACCATCCCCACATTGCTTTTCCATCAGTTTATTAGAGTTAACGGAGAAAAGCTGTTGACAACTGTGAAACGCTTCAGACGTATTTCCCTTCCTACATACGGATCTATCATTTCTAGCTTTACATTCTTATAAACTTCATTTTCTCTTATTCCTGTGATAATTATACTCAGAAAAGACTTTTTTAATATAAAATGGAATATGCGTTTGATCTCCTTCGACCGCACAATGTATCCTTCTATATATGCCATCAGATTCTGCTAAACAACCTTCAAATTCAGATGTTTTCATTTTCAGAAACTTTTCAAACCCAAAGCTGTACTTTAAATATTTTTGTGCATTGAATTAATCAGAATTCATTAAACTAATTCTTATTGCGTTCCAGTTTCAATGGCTTTATGATTCCAAAACACATCCGAAACAATTCTCTAGGAGTGTGTCTCTTGAAACAGCTCTACCTCCTTTCTTTTTTGCGAAACTGAAATTTCATGTTTTTTAAAAATAACTTATTTCCATTCACTTATTCGTTTTTGCATATTCTCATTTTTTCCCCCAAATCTTCATGTCTTTCATTTATTTCAACTAATCGTATTAGCACGTTTCTGGACCCATTTCCTTACTAGGGTATAATTGAAAATCTTATTGAAGTATTTCATGCATTTATATAAGTTCCATTTTATCTAAGTGGCACAATAAAGTCGAAAGATATCAGAATATTCTGCTTAAAGCTTATCACTTTATCAACTAATTTAACATCCGTTAACTACTTTCCTTTCCCTTCTCAGAAATATTTCATTCCAGATCTTATTGAAAAAGATTCTACCTTGAGCATTTCTTGTTTCATTCTTTTCTTTCCTCATTCTCCATCTTTAGCTCTTCGCTTTCCACAAAAAGAAATCAAATAGCCTCAATTCAAACATTCCACATAGTATATGGATAATCTGATAATGAAAAATAAAACATTGAATCAACAAATTTGTTCGATGGCACCAGTGGAAAATTCTATTCTACACTTCCCGTCTCCATAATTTGTCTTTCATTTCCTGGCTCGCATAAACAGTTCTTTTCAATTTCAATTTTTTATTTTTCAGCATGACTGATCCATATGAAGATGAGGGTTGTTACAACGTGCAGGAAACATCATTTGATTATGAATATGATGCTACGATTGATTGGGGAACTTTAACATTGGATGATTGCAACTGTAGCCACCCTCTGCACAAATACTTGGCGGTAAATTTGAATTTTTCATCACTCATCAACATTCAGCAAGATTGCATTTATACAAATTTTGTCGCGAGAGAGCGGTTGCATTTCTACTCATACATATTCTCCAGACAACACGCGTTACCAACTTTGAACAGAATATCTTATTCTATTTATATCCAGACTGTGTTATACTTATTGTATTCATATTCTATGCTAAGTTGAATCTCACTCCTCTTCTCACTACATTAGTTTAATTTCAGTATATCTTTCTTTTAAGACTCAAAACAAAAACATTTTTCTTTCGTACTGATTGATGATTCAAATTCTAAAAAATTATAATAATCGTTACCGCTGTCAGATTAATTGAACTCTATACATTTCAGGCTTGTGGTGATAAATGTAATGTTGTTCCTACTGGAATATTTCTCAATTTAACGGATGAACAACTTTTTGAAATAGCACTTCCAGCTCTTCTTTATTTTGTCGTTTTTCTTGTAGGCACTATCGGCAATGCTATGGTAATTGTGATTGAGCGTTGCGGCTTCATGTAGAACGATTTTCTAGGTTATTTTTGTTGTCAATCGGTTCAAACGGATGCGAAACGTTACAAATGTGTTTTTAGCATCTCTGAGCACTGCTGATTTGTGTTTAATCTGGTTTTGTGTGCCAATTATGGTAAAATTATATGAGTGTGTGCTAAAGTACGAAAATATTTAAGTTTGTGAAATATATGTCTCATACTTGGTTTATGGGACGTTTTGCATGTTACTCCGTGCATTATATTCAACAATTCACCTGCTTTTGCTCTGTTCTCACAATGACGATGATCTCCTTTGAAAGGTATGCCATGAACAGACTTATGAATTTTTTCCACTCTTCTTCTGGCTCAAAGACTTTAATCAATTTCGAAACCTTACATCCGCAGGCTTCCTTGTTCTCTGCGATTACATGAACTTTCCTGCTAGATAATCCATTCTTTTACGTAAATTGACCAGATGACCATCAATAAACACGAAATGACAAAATGAATACGCTTCTAAGAAACCGTACAGTTCCCCAAAATTATGATGAGAGATATTATTACTTCCTTGTAAAAAGATTATTCAGATATCTCGCCATTGCATATCCAATGAGGAACATGTGGCTTTCATCTATAGGGCGAGCGAAGAAGGTGCTTGATCCAGTAGTTTATTCTTAGAAAGTTAAATTTTTTAGGTCATTCTTTTCATATGGGTTCTGTCAGCCTTTCTATCAATCCCAACAGCTATGAGAATCGATTATGAAACAAACGTCTCACTCTCGGGAGACAGAGTGTACTGGTGCAGAAGAAGGTTGAAAATTTTCATATGATACACCGAAATGGTGGCTTCTTCCAGGTTTCCCAGTAGTTTTTTTGGAATTCCACAAACAAAGCTGAATCGTATTTATGCTGTTTATCAAGTAAAAAGTTGTGGTTACCTTCCATGTTTACCGCTTACGTTGTAGATGCTGCTCTTGATAGTCTTCCCAGTTGTTACAATGTCCATTTGTTATGCTCGAGTAGCAATAATTGTCTACACCTCATCGAAAAATAGATTATTGCTCTCTCAAGCTATGCAAGTTTCTATATTTGAATATTTTTATTTCGTTTTTGTTATAGGGTGGCTTTTTCTAAAGCTGCAACTGATGCTGTAACATTTTCTGGCTATAGCACAATCCCGATGATTTCAACTAGTCGGCAACTGAAGACTGCTTGCACAACAATAAACTCATACAGTAAACAGAAATCCAATCGAGTGGCAGAATCTAATAAGAAGCAGGTAATCACATTTTTCACGTCAATTTTTTTCACTAGAAAAACTTATGCTTATTCATAAAACTGATTGATTCAGAAACATCAGTTTTCATTGAGATCACGAACATTGACATTCTGACGCCTTGTCATATCTCTTTTGATTCATAAAATTACAGATTGTGCAAATGCTGATATCCATTGTTGTGATGTATACGATATGCTGGGTCCCAACAATTGGTTTGTTTTCACGTACATAGACTCAAAACATATTTCTTTTAGTTGACGAACTATTGACGTCATTCGGATATATATGTCGTACTTCTAATTCACCAGCCCTTAAACACATGCGGATGGGGTTTAATGCGTTGGTTGGTTCTTTTTATTTCAAGAAATTGTTATCCTCTGAGCAACAGAAAAAAAACTTATTTACTTGAGTTCATTAATTAATGAAAAACATGAAAATCTTTCAGACGTACTGTCAATCCTGCATAAATCCGATTCTCTATGCTTTCATTTCGCAAAATTTTCGAGCCACGTTCAAATCTGCTTATTCAAGAATGAAACATAGACTACAGGTACTGAAGAAATTTTAATTATGTCACACAAACTGAATTGCAGGGTGTCGAGGAGATGAGATCACGAATGGGCTCTTGTTCTTCAGCTTCCATGCTTTCTACCAGAAATCATCATAGAATATATGGTAGTAGTTTCAACACTTTGGCTGTTCCAGGAAGGTAGTAGATATTTCTATAACAATTATTCAGTTATTCTTCATCCAGATCTCTTATAACACCTAACATTTCTCGAGATGCTTCTCAATTATCATTATGCCGCCCAGTCTCTCAAATGTCTTTCTGCCGAAACATAGCGCCGGATGGAGTCACATCTTTGTAGGACATTAGAGTTTTTCTTTCAAACCAGTATTCTATCTATTATCAGAGGGAGACCTCGCAGTCCAACAGAAGGATCAAAAGATTCCGGTAGACCAAGGAGTCCTACTGATGTTTCTCAAATGAGTAGAAAATCAATAATAAGGTATAGATAAAACTTGAAATATTTTAATCAACCTTTCCTCAGACCAAGAAGCCCGACAGGAGCTTCCCAAGTTTCTATAGCCATTCCAGTAGGCAGATCTCGCACCCCAACAGGCTGCTCGGAAATATCATTAAGCAATTCATCCAGGTAGTAGTTCCTACTGTATGGATTTATATTTATACGTATCATAGAGCGCGAAGTCCCACAATGAACTCTAGTCAGTCAGGAACATCGAAAACAAGTTTACCTCTCCCTGAAATGGATTTACTATCTGTTCAAGATGCCGTCCGACCTAGAACACCTCCTTGCATCTGAACATACTAATCGTTCACAAAGTTATTGATACGGGTTGTATTGAATAATAACTACTTCTAGTCATAAGAAACTATAGGAAATTCAATAAAGTATTTATAGTCATTTGCAACAAAAACAACAAGTAAATTCAACAAATAGAAACAATCGATATGAAAAAAATAACAAAACTACAGACCCAAAGCACCTCTCAAAACTACAGCTCCTGGACATGTATATTCTTTCAGCTTCTTCACATTTAAAATTTGCAAAAGTTTCTCCTTCACACCAGGAGTTCCTGATGTAGCCAGACGATTCAGAACGTAACAGCCCTAGAAAGAAAAACATATACAATTGAGTTACTCGAACAGTTTTCCTACTCTATTGCAGGAAATCCAGGCTCCCAAGTTGACTTCTCTATCATTCATAAGCATAGTGGAAAATCTCTCCTCTACAGGCAGATCTCTGTCAAATCTGCGCAAAACAATCAATTGATACAGATTATAGAACTTAAGCTTACCTCAATAATGAAGTCAACAAGAAATGACCGGCTTGGTGTTCAATCACATGGAAACGTTCATTGTCCATGGGAATGAACTCCTGTTTGCAAAGCTCTAGAACGGCTCTATAGCAGTTTGCTCTGAACTCAGGCTTAATACGCTTCTCATATAAATCATATTGACCTGCAATGATGTATATTATGGATAGAACAAAGACAACCAAACATACATGCCGTTTGGAATAAAGTAACTAGGAAAAATCTTTTTTGATCTTCATAAATCAACTTCTCCATGTTAGCAGCGACATAGGTAAAGAGAGATTCTTGGATGCCATCAAAAATTTCAGCATAACGATCTTTCTTCTCCTTCTTACTGTGAGGATTGGAGTCACCCTGAGAGAAAACTGAAGACAACTAATCAAATGGAATGTACCTCTTGAAGTCTTTCAACTTCCTTCCTATCCATACTTCTTGTGTTACGTGGGTAAACCATGTATGAAATGAGAAGCTCACCCCACTTGTCGTCAAGCACCTTGGCAATTTCATTACCTAGCTCCTGAACAAGAAGAAATTATATTGCAATTCATAACCGTTTGACGTACCGATACAATATACTTGTTGACTAGAACAGTGTCGTCAACACAATCGAAAATAGCTTGAAGAACTCTGTGACCATATCTTTCAAAAGCTGCTTTGACTGATAAACCTTTGAAGTTTTTAACAATGAGCTAAAACAATCAGTGAGAGACAAACGCGAGACAAGAAACCTTTCTGTCCTTGGAACTGCAGTTCCAAATCACTTTCATAGAGACATAACTTCCTTCAGGAGTGTGAACAATTTCAGGAATCTTATCTTTTAGCGATTCAATCATATTCAACATTTGATCCTTATCACAGTGTTGTAAGAAATCTAGCAACAAGCGATGAGTTAACGAAAGACGGAGAGTGGTCCTGAAAACCCATATGCTCAACTTTAAATCTTTCGAATACTTACTTTTCTACCCAAACTTGCAAGAGTTCCTCCATGTACTGTAGAATGAGCTTTTTCTTAGCAGGTTCTTCTTGGACAATTTCTGACAGCGTTCTTGGTTTATCAGACTGAAATAGAATAAAAATAGAAAAAAAACTTCCAACATATACGAACTCTGAAAACAACAAATTCTTTTCCATAAAACTCGGATACAATGTCGAATCGCTGTTGTAGGGTAGCATGCTCGTTGTAAACTATTTCAAGTACCTGGAAAATTATTAAATTAAAAAAAAGAAGACGGCAACAAAACCTCAGCAGCATGAACAATTCTCATCAAAGAAACAGCATGACCTCGGAATGCATCAATGATAATTCTTTTTTGTTGTGAACTTCTGAATATAGCTAAGCTAATACAGAAAATGAACACCTTCTCTTACCCGTATTTCAGCATTCTGACCACGAAAAATTTTGCGTACTTACTCTTCGTCATTCTCACCAACTCTGGTGTTAACTCCTCGAACACTGTTTGAAAAAAATAATCAAGCTATAGAGAACTAAGGTAACATACACATGTTCGTCACACCGGGCCTTTTCAAAGCAACTAGACATTCGATGACACGAGACAAGTCATGAGCATAAATAAACCTAGCAGCATTTCCCTATAAAACAGAACCGTGAGCAGAACAAAACCATTTCCCACCTTCACAAGTCCGACAAGTTTTGTAATGCAATCATCTTTCTCTACTGTCGGAGTCTTACGACTGAAAAACGAATTTTGATCAGGAAATGTTATCTCCCTTAGTACCTTCTAATTTTCTCCCACAAAAGTTTTGCTTCCAGACCTTTTTCCGCAAATGGGTTCTTTTGAGCCTGAATAGTAGTTTGTCAGATTACTATTTTTATTCATGAGATATACCTTGATTTCTCGCAGGAAGGCTTTACGTTCCTTACGGTCCATTTGGAGAAGTTGTTCTTTCACTTTTTTCGTAACTTGAATAACCTTTTTCTTCTTGGGAACATCTATCAATTTCGTATCAGAATCTGTAACTTGTTCAGAAATGGTAGGCTTCGTGTCCTTAACATCAGATGCCTTCGCAGTTATAACTTTTTTGATCTACAATGGGAGAGGTAATACACTGGATAATTAATAACAAATAGTTGCACCTTAGCAGCTTTTTCTTTTTTAGATCTCAAAATACCACGGCCAGGCTCTGCTTCGGAAGGTTTGATGTCCAGATCCTTCACATTCTTATCGAAAACTTTAGTTCTCTCAATGTTAGAGGCAAATGATACCTGCACATATCGGAATTAAAAACTATTATGAAGTATAACTCACTCTTTTCTTCGGTTCTCTGTTAGGTAACTGACTTCCGAATGATGATTCAGAGCATAATGAGTCTCTTGTATCATCATCGTTATTATTCCATTGAGATTCGAATTTGTCAAGATGCACTTTAACTAATTTTTTCAACTGATCATTTTTTGCTATTTTATCTTCTTGCTAATAATAAACAGGGTAAATAAAAAAACATTTGAAATTATAAACCTTGACTACTCTCTTCTTCTCATGAGGAGTTAGTTTGATACCCTTGGCTTTCTTCTCTATCAAACTGGAGTATTTTTTTTTGGGCGCCTTGTGAACTTTATCTTTGAGTGGTGCTTTAGCTGATTTAGCTGATTTAGCTGACTTGGCTGACTTAGCTGATTTAGCCGATTTTATTCCTGGTCTGGACATTTTGAAGCTGCAAAATCAGATAAAAATAATCAGTAATAAAATCAGAATACAACGAAGTATTAAATGAAGAACAATGAAGGTAATATTTGAATAATTCTGTAAAGGACTGTCTCACTTTAGTCTGCTCTCTCCACATTCTTCCATTGCCTCTCTTCAAATGTGAAAATCGCGACGAGACCTTTAAAATTTTTTGAATCCACTTTCTCAACTTATATCATCATTACGAGAGCTGACAAGAGTTTGATTTCCTTGTTTTTCACATGATTATTCTGTTTTTATTCTTATGAATGTTACAATATCAAATTGAACAGTGTAGTTTCATCTGATTAGTATTTATATTATTATTTCATGTCACGATATTATTTACATATAAGGTTTTTCAGAATGAGTTCTATTGGTACTGGGTATGATCTCGCCGCTTCAACATTCTCTCCTGATGGAAGAATTTTCCAAAGTAAGTAAGGTGTCCAATCTTCGTTTTCATTTTATTTCAGTTGAATATGCCCAAAAAGCCGTTGATAATGGTGGAACAATGATTGCCTTACGAGGAAAGAATGGCGTCGTTACTGCAGTCGACAAACTAATCAGCTCCAAAATGTATGTCGAGGTATAGAAAAATATCGTTGTTCAAGTTATTAGTATTTGAAATGACAGAATGCTAACCCACGTATGCTGAATGCAAACGAAAATATTGGAATGGCTATAGCTGGAGTGTACCCTGACTGCCGGGCTCTTAAGGATTACGCATGCAGCCAAGTTTGTATTAAAATGGTTTTTTTAATAATAGTGCCATCAAGGCTGTGAGATATTTGGAAAGCTACAGACAAGCTATGCCAATCTCCAACTTAGTAGATCAAGTTGCGGAGTACGTTCATGTCTTCACTCTTGGTATCAGCAGACCTTTTGGTGCTTCTATTTTCTTCTCTTCTTGGAACAAAAAGGTAATCTATTTGTTCTCAATCTCAAAAGTTTCCTCATTCTCAGGAAGGAGGGCAACTCTATTTGGTAGAGCCCTCAGGCTTGAGCTTTGAGTACAAAGCTTGGTCCGTAGGAAAACACAGACAAGCAGCCAAGGTAGTTTATACTATAATTTCAAGCCTGATTCATGCCAACTGTAGGCAGAAATCGAGAAGCTAAAACTTGAAGAAATGGATGTTAAGGATCTTGTCAAAGAAGCTGCCAGAATCATCATGACCATTCGTGATGAGAATAAGGTTTTTTGATTTATTTTGTTTGAGTACTCAGAGTTTTCCAGGACAAGGATGTTCAGATTGAAATGGGATGGGTAGGAGAACACACCAACGGAAAGCCACAGGTGTTTCTCATGATTTTTTTCGAAAATCACGTTTTTTTTTTTTACAGAGAGTTCCCCATGATGTTGTAGCAGAAGCGGAAGAGTGGGCTCGTGCTAAGTTAGATGAGGATGATATGGACGACTAATAGAATGTTCGGTTGTGTCCTCTAAATTGGCTTGTATACCGGTTTCTATTTATTATTTTATTCTGAATAAACTCCACTGTTCATTTACAACTATGTACAAACAAAAAATTAGAATTCGAACGGTTAAGGTGAAGGAAGGTTTTAAAGGTCTAAAGAAAGCTCTATGGTTTGATGATATGTTTCTCTTTTTCTATGCAATCGAATACAGCGTTTCTGAGATGCCTATAAGTTCTTGTTAATTCCCCCATTCCTGTTTTGAGCCCATTCGAGACGTATGAAATAACAAGCTGAAGAAATAGGTAACTTGTCGCATCGGAATTCTTACCTCTTCGTCTAGATCCATCATTACAGTGCTTCCCCCGAAGCCAGGGTGTCCTACTAACCACTTGTTCTAGGTAGCGTCATGAGAAATTTTCTAAGATAGCAAACATACTCCGCCCAAAGGATGACGCTCATATAAAAATCCATGACCCTTTGGCAACGGTGTCATCACAACTTCATCTAGTCCACCGGCGACTTGAGGCTGTTTGAAACGCTCCAGTAAGCCCTCAAACATTCGTTATTGAAGTGATGTTTTGAAACATCAACCTTATCAAACAGCTTCCCACTCAACATCAAAGAAAACAGTTTGGCCAAGTCTCTGGCTTTCGTTATACCCAAAGCTGCAACTTGCTCCATTCCATGAAGCTCTGGGTCGTTGAAGGTATTCACATCCTTAACTATAAGTCTCAAGAGTCAATTCGTGAACTGTTCAACCTGTTCAAGCTTGAACCATTGAGGGTTCTCTCTCATTTTTCGTGCGATAGAGGTTGGAGGACGTAGATGAAGAACAGCAAGAACAATCAGGACTCTGAAAAAAACTTATGCACTAATTGCTAAGAATATCAGTAAGTATCTTTAGGGGAACCTTAGAAGGAAGAAAGATAGATAAGTTTACATGAAAGAAAAGTACATAATCGGTACATGCAGAAAAGATATCGCCAAAGATCACTTATAACTACCAAAGTAGATAGGAATACAGCTAACCAGACCATATATGACATAATCATGTTAAACTTTCAATTTATCAACAACTCCTTAACGATAAAGATAAATGCTAACTAAGATAGAAAAATTACTGGACGATGTCCTCATTGGCGACGCTTAATGGGAATTTTGGTAAGATACGTTACACTTTATTCACGCTTTGAATACAGTTGCTCAATCGAGCAGCCTTACAGCCTATAAGGGCATCGAGAGCAACCGAATGTAGTCTAAAGATCTTGCGAACGTTTAACGGCGATCAATCTAGACGAAAGGGTTAAGCGCCGCCAATATGTAAACTTGTATGTCATGTTATATAGCCACGAGTAGTAGCGCTCCGTATCTCATACGAGTGGAGACTCCAAACCACAATAATGCTGGTACTCGTGTACGCAAAACAACTTATATAAACATTGCTTCAACTGATACTTTCGGAAGAGATCTTCTGTCACGTTTTCTTCTCCCCGGATTTGATGAATTTAAGAAAATACCTTGGATCATGGACAATTTCTTTCAGAAGATGAGTTGTAGGTGGCATTGAAAGACGAGAAACTGTGTGTTCTTCCGATGGAGGTAAACCAATGTGGAAGTCGATACCTAAGTTAGAATTAGTTTTTCAGATTCAAAGTAAAACTTTAAAAAACCATGCTTATCAGCGACCTCCTCTTTAAAGAATTGACCAACAGAACGGTGTTTTGGGTCAGCCCGTCGAACAATTTGATCAACAATCCAACCATACGTAATTGCATGATATCTGCAAAAGAGATTAAATAACGATATAGTTTTTGTGAGTCAAACCCATGCTTAGTGCCAGGTTCCCAATTCGGTATCTGCTTCTCTAAAGCCTCAGCCATTTTTTTGAAATTTTTCGCATCTTCTCTTGAGATAGGCTCATCTAGAGCCGCTAGACCTGCCTAAAATTCTTTTTGGTTTTGCTCAACATTGATAAATTACCCTATGGGACATGAGCATGTCAATTGTAATGTTTTCTTTCCCGTTTGAAGCAAATTCGGGCCAATATTCGGACATTTTATCTTCATAATGCAGATGTCCTCTGTCGACTAAAATAGCCACACAGAGTGCTCCAACCGCCTGTACAGGTGAACAATAAACAAACGGAAGTAATGAAAACCTTTGTTGTACTGAAGACAACAGTTCTGGTTTCATTTGTCCATTTTCTTCCAGATGATTTATCTGCGAATCCACCCTACAAAACATGAAAGGAGAAATGAATGATAAAGTTTGTGAAAAAACACGAGTGCTGGCTTACTTGTAAATCTATGACTAGTTCACCTTTGTGATACACCGCAACGGCAGCTCCTTCTCGCTCCCATCCATCGTGAAAGTTCTTCCTGTAATTGTTTAAAGAATGAATTGAACATACTTTAATTGAATAAAATGGAAATATAATTTCAGAAAAGTTTTTTGTGTTGTTATATGATACATGAAAGAAAGGATAGTTCTGCGCGAAGTTATGGAGGCTATGCTCTTGGAACAGTTCGATTTACTTTTTTATGAGATAGTAAAACCAATCAAAAATCTTGTTTTCCTATGCCCTATGCGACCTTTGGGAGACATCTTCCATGAGAATGCTTCATTCTGGTCTCTGCTAAGGTGATATGTCTCTGGAAGAGAAAAAAGACAACTAGTGTTGTTGGCAGACGGATCAGCCTTGAACATAGTTTTGAATTCCGGTTGTAGATGGAAGTGTCGATCCAACTGAATTCTTTTAACCAGATTGACTAAGAACGGTTGAAAAGGTTTTATAAAAGTAGAAGCGATAGGCTTAGAAAAGTTTTTATTAACTGCAAAACGACAATTTTCGGTATTAAGTCCGATATAAAAAAGCGTAACGATGAAAGCTTAAGGAAAGACTCCAAAAGGTTCATGAGATTGATAGCGCCTGAATGAAATTAGCCTGTTTCTTGGCTTATAAATGATTTATAAAGGTATCAGATATGATGAACGGAAAGAATATATGATAGCTTCCCTTTATGGATATAAATGCTTTATTTACGTTCAAATATTATTTTAAAAATATTTCTAGTTTTCTGAAGGTAAAAACTAGTCATAAAATAGCAAAAGCATTAGAAAATAATATTTGTTATATAGATTGTTCAAGGCTTACCGGAAGATTTTCTCGACCTTGTCATATTTAGGCAGCACAAATCCTTGAAGATTATCAAGTCGAACCATGTGTGATGAAGCTAGAGTATCGATAATGTATGGCAGGACGAATATAAGTGATAGCATCTGAAGCCAAATCAGGAGGGCGGGGCCAGAACGTGTTGTCTTCGTCGTCATTGTATGAGAGTCCTAAACATACAGGCAAAAATGTACATTTTTATGTATATAGCCTCATTGGAACTTTACAAGAGAGTAGAGAGATCATTTGAACATATTAACGTGATGGTTTTGTGTACCATACAAGAGAAAAAGCAGCCTGTAGGCAGAGCCAGAAGAGAAAGACAGAGACAAGAAGAATGGAGAGAAATGCTTGAGAGAAAGGTGAAAGGGATAAAGAAAGTGTAAAGATATTCTCGTGATCGTCATTATGTATTTTAACACCTTGCATGTATACTGTACTATACTTTGACATACGTCTTCCTATTTCCTCCCTTTCAAACCAAAAAAACTTGTTAAACGGTCATCAAATAAATGTCTCAGTTTCTTATTAATCAGTATTTGAACAGTTTTTTCGAGCTTTCGTATGAAAGAATAGAAATCAGTCTTTTCTCTTATATGCAGGGATGGAAAATGATCAGACTTTTCATATTTCTCCATTATTTTACAATCAGTAAACGTCGTTCCTCAGTCTACAAGTCGTCTTGCAGATTGACTAATTGTCAGAAGCCGAAAGAAGCCGGTTTTATGCCAGCTAATTGAGGAAAAGATTGTCAAATCAACACCTCCAATCAAAATGAATTATTGAATGAAATCATTGCATGCTATATCATAGGGACGTATTTTGCAGAATATTTTTAATTATTTTGTTTTACAAAAGATATCACAGCATGTAATCAAAACAGATTCTTCTAGCTAAGGTTATACTCTTTTATGAAACTCTTCTTTGATTGAAAACACCTTCATTTCAATCGGAGCATTTCATTCCTCGCCTTAAGAAGTTGTCTAGGGTAAGCACACACTGTATCAAAGGAAGTTGTACAGACAAAGAGTGAAGCAGAAATTAAATTTTAATTTGTTTATTTGTTACTAATCCTAATTGAATAATGACTCGTAAAGTATTCTGGAACTGTTGTTAAGGAGAGAAAGAGAAAAAGTGAGAAAGTAGCCATGCATGGAATAATATAATGGAAACGATTCAAAAACAGTTATCTGAGGGAAGTATCTGGCGAAAAAAGGAATGGACTGAATTCAATCTAGGATAGGCCAATAAGAAGTGAAAAAATCAATCAAATTTTATTTGAAAAATGATCAAATCATAATGATGTTGAGAAAAAGTTCGAAAATTGGTTTATTATATATAAATAGTGAGATAGTTAACTATATGTGATTGACTGATTACAAATTGTAATTTGGTGGCCTGATATATAAAAGATTGGAGGTCCAGGGTCCTTTTCTTATCAAATTTTTCGAATGACTGTCAAAATGTTAGGTTATACTTGTACAGAGCGGGATGGATAACCCTCTTGAAAGTTATTTTCCCTTATAAACGAAATATTATATTTTCCATTTTCGTTTTCTTCCTTTTTACACCATAAATCGTTTTGTTTTCAAATAAGTCAATCCGACGACTTCTCTTCACTACAATCATGTTTATGGCGAAGAAAAAAAAAGAAAATTATTTCACGAACAATTCGTTACTTGTCAGAAGTGATCGTGTTTTTTTAAGTAAATTTGTTTACGCAGACTTCATTCTCCGTTCAGTTCTCGTGCGTCAATGATAAACACTCCTATGACTTGGCTTCATACCCAACCGTCTTCCAGCATTGTAACTGCAAAAATGACTTCGTGTTAGAGCGATTTGCATACTGACACTGTATTCAATCAATTGTCTACAAGGCATTCCAGAATTATACTGCCATTACTATATTAGCACACGGATCATACGGAGAATGTTTTTATACAACTTTCCTTCGAGTTCTACGTTTGCAATGTTCCTGTGCTTCGGTTGAACGCTAGTAGAACACAAACATTTGGAAATATGATTGTAAAACATTTCAGAATTCAAACTATAGTCTTCTTTTTGTTTAATATTGTTCGATTTTGCAGCAAAACTTTAGAGGAATCATTTGATACTCATTTGGAGTCAAGAGAACAAACAGATTACCAACACTCTAAAAGATGTTCCTGTTTCTAGGCTATTTTCCAACTTCGTAATGAGAGATCACATTCAAGTATAGTTGTAACATCCTCGTATTGTCATCAAAATGAACTTCGTGTTTGTAAAAAACTTTTATTGAAGTCAAATAAAGAATCACAATCTTTCAATTTGCAAAGTTCGGATAACTTTCCAAAAATTTATGAAAAGCTAACAAACACATCCGTTGTAAATTTGAAAATAAGGAAGAGAAGATGAAGAGCAATTCAATTATTCTTCCAATAAGATGGTTGATCAACGCAATAAGAACTTTACCAAGGTTCAAGTGAGAGTTAACTTTTAATGATTATGAAAATTGTGAAAATCGAGTCCTTATGCTGCCAATCTTATCCTTTTGGCTCTCTGATTTGAGAATGAGAATAAGAAGTAAACCAAAGGTTAAAAACGTGTCATACCCGATACAGTCGAACCAAGCTCACCAGTTCTACCCATGTTCACATACCCGCTACCATATACTATTTATAATGTTTTTTATATGAACTTAATCACACTAAAAAGATAAAGTTTATTGAAATGGAATTTGAAATCACAATCTTTTACTTTGAGAAGTTTGGATATCTATCCTTATACCAAATAAGAGCCATCAAATACATGATTTATAATTTTAAAAACAAAAGCCAAACAGAAGATATTAATTCCTTTGTGTTTTCAAATAAGTTATTTATATTTTTTTATTATATTCTTTCGAATTTTTTCGTTTTTGTTAACCTCAGCTCATGTTAAGGGATTAAGGTGCATGGACGGGTGGATGCGAATTACTTAAAAACGATTATTTTTTTTATTATTTCGGTACGGCTTATCCTTGAACACTATCGGGTTTCTTGGAGAAGAAACGTTGAATTGTTACATTGTTCTGAATTATGTTCGTTAGAGGACTCAAGACCTTTCTATTCATGTGTACCTGTGGAGTAACAGTGAATCTGTGAGAGAGTCCTTTTGGAATCACCAATAAATCTCCCTTCTCCATTTGAACTCGGATCCACTCGTCTTCCTGAATACCATCTTACAGTTAGTTCTCTCATAAATAACTCTTTACCTCTGGTTCGACGTCATAATAACACGCTCCATCAAGTACAAGAGAAACAACATCATCACTCTTTACAGCAGGTTCGTAGTACTCCTCGAGCTGAAAAAAAAGGAAATAATAACATGAGATGTTCTGTTTAGAATAAAATAAGTGCAATCATTTGATAGAAACTTACTCTATCGTTAAGATCAGGAACGGAATCATTAATAACAAACATATCAGAAGCGTTCACGTTTTTCTCTGTCTTAACTCGAGAAATTCTTTTCTTCATTTGGACAGTGTCTTCTAGGTCAACCTGAGTTGGAAATAAAATGGCGAAAAAAGACTTTTCTTTGCAACCTTATAGTACTGAACTCCAGCTAAGCTCATTAGCTGATCAGGGCTTATTTTTTTTGGTGGGAAGACGTGATGTGGAAGACGACGGTCTCCGCATGGGAAAGGTTCCATGTGCCAGATTTGCATTTTTTCTGAGAATGTAGAAAGAGACGAAACGAAAGCTGAAAATAAACATTTCTAATTCAAGCATTGGATAGAAACAAAATAACACGTGAGAAAGAATGCTTGAAACATCGGCATATTAGCCCTAGACTGGCTAAGATAAAACCAGATGACACGCTAGAAATAGATTCAGCTAACAAGACAAAACATTATCGAACTTGAATACGTTCGAACGAACTCAAATGTTTTACCCATGAGGTGCAGAATCGAGCTGCGCTACAAGAGAAAAACAGAATAAAAATTTGATGAAAAATGAGGATAACCCCATGACACTCGGAGGCGGTAACGTTGATGATGGCAAAGCCAAAAATCCAAAAGATCATAACAAATCAGATTGAATGGGATAAAGACAAAAATAATAATATTGATGATGAGAAAGGCTGCATGTTTCTTCAACGCTGCTCGGTCTATAGAGAAAGGGAAAGACGATGGGTGCAGATATGAATGAGTGAAGGTTTGAAGAACAAGGAATGAAGTATATTATGCTGATCCGTATGTTTCAAAAAGATTTTAAATATGGGCAAAATCAGGTATAGACATCGGCGATGGTCATTCAGAAGACGACGTATTCCTGTCTCTTATAAGGCAATGGAGAGGGTGGTGACGTCATGAAGAGAGAGGCGGGGCGTAGAAAATGTTGATAGCTTAGGGTGAAATGTTCTGAAAATGCAAAAGTATAAGGCAAAGTTAAGAATGAGACTTGGAAGGAAAATAGAAAACAAATTTGACGAATGTCGAAGTTTCAGACATCGAAAGTCAGAACTATTTTTGACGGCAACTGTTCTCAACGTGTTGTCTGAATGAACTATCTTTAGCCAAAAGTGAAATGAAAATAAGATAATGAAAATCGAATCTTATCCTAATTTCAAACTCGACTCTCCAGAACGAGATAAGTTCAGATTACATTTGAGATCATCCTAGGCACAAACCGTCTTGAATCAAACATCTTCTTGTGAAGATCGCTATGATAGCTAGAAAGGGAAAATGACATCTCGTTGTTTTGTCGACATACTGTTTTCAAACTTTGGAGAGAACTCAAAGGGTGACTAGAGTCTCCGGACTGTTTTGTTCTCTTTCCTTTCTATAGTGAAGGCTAAGTCGAATGTTCTCAAATGATATCATAGAGAAGACCAAATTAATATTTCTTTTTTCGAAAATATTTGGGACAAATGGAGGAGAAAACAGGAAAAGCTCGGTCTCACCTGGATAATAATCCAGGCGAATGTTGTAACCGAATGTTTGTTATTTGAATGAAAGGGAGTAGTATGGAGATGGGTCAAAAGAATTGTTTTCCGCTTTTCCAAAGTAAAGTTTCCCGATTGCTCTCGATCATAGTCTTCTAACCTACTTGTTTGAATAATATTCTGTGTAGTTTGGCTGAAAAAAAAACAAACAAGGATATGAGGTTTGCAAATGGTGGTATTCACGCCCTAACGTGTTCGGCTTTCATATTTTTGTGGATCAGAGGTTAAAACATCAGAAGATCAGAAAATAAGGGTGCCAATAGAATGTTTTGGTTGATTTATAAAGATCATCATCTGATGATTGGAAGAAGAAAGATAGCCCGCGGATTTTGTCAACCACTGATTTTGATAGATGGATTGGAATGATTTGTGTTTTTTATTGATAATCATACTGAAACGGTTCTTAAGTCACGCTTGTTACTATTTATAAACAGCTCTTCAATTTAAGTTTTCATAAGAAAAAACGTTGAAGAATGAAGCTGAAACAATAGAATCTATTTGTAATGAATGAAACTAACCGAAACAAAGACAGTTTCATTAGTTTCGTAAGTTAACATTTCTTCTTCTCCCTGTTTAATAGAGCTTAAGAAACAGGCTTATCACTACATATGAAAAAACAAGCCTTGATATAGCTTTTTCATGTGATCACGATAGGGTCATTTGTCATATTTAGAAATTTCTAGTAAATGAGCTAATTAATATCATTAATGAATAATCTAGTTATTATACTAATTTCTGACAAATTGTTCTTTCTACATCACGTAAAAGTAAGAATAGTACTCATTATTGGATTTATTCTAATTTCATACGTTGATACTACACGTGAAGGATGCGCAGCACTTTTCATTTGAAATCTGAAACAGTATAGGAACGGTTGCTTTTCATGGAACAATGTTTGTTGCGATTCTAAGTGCTTGACAGGACGGTATATCTTTCACTGAGTTAGGATTATTGTAAACTTTCGAACTGCGCTATAAAACGGTTTTCACTTTAGAGAAATGAGAATGTTCTTATGAATTGTGCTGGTTGAGAGCTGTTGCAAATTTCGGGGACCTCGAAATAGATGACCACAGACTTCTCTACGAAAAGAAACAAAATATATCGACGAAGCGAAAAAAACAAACAGGAGACTTTGATCTATACAGAAGAAAGGATCAAAAAGTTTTCTATCTCAGAAAATGGGGGAGACTCTCCAACATTCTTTGTTTATGTATTCTTATAAACGTCTCATGATTTCATAAATTATGTCAAACATGTTAAATTAAAGAGAGTAATATAGCTTATCGAGCTTCAATCTGTTTTGTTTTTGTGCCAGGAGGTCACTAATTGTTTCCACCTCCTTGAACTGAACTCAGAAGTAAGTCAACCAAAATCTCAGAGAAGCAGATGATAGTAGAGTTATCAGGAGAAGAAATCAAAATATGTGGAGAACAAATGAAACTGCGTAAAGAAGTCGGCAAAGTATAGAAATATTATACAATTTCACGGTGGAATCTTGATCCGACATAAACTAGAGACTTCTTCTATCAAGCTCAGACATCTTTTTCGAGAACGGCCGAGGCTCTCCGCATGTACTGTATCTGGGCAGTCTTTTCTGAGAAGATAGCGATCACCATACACGAACGATTAAAATTATTCAATTCATCCTTATCTTCGGAATTCACATTACAAGAATGAGACGATATCTTCTACCTTCAGGTGAATTCTCTTTTTTCTTTATCAGATCGTGAAACGGAGCTTGAAAGTTTCTACAGATCCGCTACTTCATTGCACCTGCCGTTTTATAAAAAGCAGATTTTTCTAATAAGTTTTTAAAGTTCTCGATGAGATAGGAAGATCTTTGAAAGAAGAAAATCCAAAGAAGGAAGATAGTTTCGATAATGAATGTTCAAATGAGGTCGCAAAATTAACATCTGAGACGGAACCCAGAGAACAGCGGAGATATCTGGGTAGCTCGTGGAATAGAAATTTCAATAAAACAGAACACAAAAAAGTAAGAAATGCTTAGAGGAAGGAGAGGACGTCTTCAATCCCTTCTTTTAATATTAATCTGATAAGTTTCATAAATATTTTCTTCCCATTCTAGTTTCCGCAACTTTCTTCATATATCGAATCAATCAATGTAGAGCCAAGAATATGATGTTATCTAGATACCCCCTGTCAAATCTAAGTGGAAAGCTTTTGTCACAGGTGATGATTGCAATTTATAAGAAAAAATAGTTTTCGTGTCTGTCCGATGCTGATCATTGAGCTATTCGATATACGATTCATCTCAAAAGAGACAAAGGATTAACATCCCTTAATTGGGACTGAAAGAACTTATGCATCCCCCTCTCCAGCTTTATGACATCATCAACGGCGCCGTTGTACGCTTCGTTTCTTATCTTTATCATTCTTTCTCACATAACATCCAAAAACTGTTGAAATAGATAATTTTACTATAAATAACAGATTTGATTAGATGCCCGGTATAGTAATGAATAGTTCAAAAGGCTCTTCCATCGAACCGATAAAAAAACTCAGTATCATCTGATGAACATACATTTAATACAACTAGAAGAAAACTGTCATACTAGTTTTCAGCTTTCTCCGACAAAAATAGATATCGGCATAAACATTCATGCCCGATGTGAAACTTGCCTACGATGGATAGATTGATGTTTGGAAAATAAGAAAATTAAAAATGAATGAGCATGCTTGAAAGAGAAGCAAGCCATTTCAACAACTAAGAAAACATCTTTAGGTAATGTTTTCCGAACTGTGGCATTGTAAAAGAGTATGAGAGATATTGTCTTAACTGAATACCTGTTTATTGGATATAGTCTGAAAAGAAAACAAGTAACAACGTTCAAAACTTAAACATAATGAGAGGTTTAAATGAAAGAACTGTTTCTCATATTATTACAAGATGAAGATAAGGAAAGGATACCCATCTTCACATAAAAACAAACTTATTAACCCGAGTTATGATTTCAGAAAGCCAAATGACTAAAAATACAACCGTTCTTTGCGTCTAACACAATCACAATGAAAATTAGCATCATAGCGTTTCACGCTGATTAGCATAAATGCAGACAGTTATTTGAAACAAAGAAGAATACTAAATAACAAAAGCTCTGAGGTGGTTTTCCTCATACCCGATCACAAATATTAACATTTTCCAAGAACACTACTATTTGAAAATTGAGATGTACAAGAGGTAGAAAGAGAAAGAAGAATCCCGTATGGATGACAAGAAAACGTATCACTGGGCCCAGCAATGAAACAAAGTTAAGCCGTTTAAATACACGTTTGTTTGAAACAAGAAACAAATTAAAATTTTAAAAACAATAGAAAGAGAGAATTTAGGTGTTTAAAACCTAAGCTAGGAGCGATCCTCGAGGCTCAGGGTGAATTATAGCGGCAGTTGTTATGTAAGTAGGACCAGGTTTATCCCTAGTTAATACTTTTATGGACAAGCGAGGTCTGTCAGTAGAATAACTGAAATATTTTCATTTTTCAAACAGGTGAAAGTTCAAAACCTGGTTGAGCTCTCAGTTTCCTCATTGATGGTATTGCGATCAGTCATTGTTGAATACCCATGGTCGCTATCTACATTTCGGTTTGGGTTTTGAGGCGGTGGGGCTTCTCTTTCGAACGAAGCGAGTTGAACACATTGTTTCTCTATTACTTCAATGTTGAATATGAGAAAAGGGCAATACCTTCTTTGAACACGGTTCTATCGTACTCTCCATCAAAGTTAGTATGACCGTTGAAGAGTGGAGCTCCATCCGAAAAGGATCGCCGAGTTGTGATTCCAGAAACCTCAAAAGTAAAATTTTATACACCCTTGTAGAACGAAAACAAATGTACTTGAGCTCGGTAGCAGTAGAAGAGAAGAGCTACCACTAGAAAAATGGTTAGAATTCCAGCAGCAAAGGGACCAAAAGGAGTTGCTAAAGCCCATTGCTCAAGACGATCCATCGCTTCTACAATATAATCTATGAGCAACGGTATTGATTCAATCTTATTACTCATAGTCGTTCTTCCATGAACTCCTTGATAACATACAGATATAGGCATACAGTTGCCAATTGGTAACCTGTTTCCTTTTGAATCAAACTCACACCAACCGCAACCAACAGTTGCTAGGCAAGTGGTTATATGAAGCAATGAGGAACACCTGAATATCGAAAAAAATCGTGAGGCAGAGAACAAAATGGTAACGTACGATGTGTGTTCGCACATATTCAAGCTATTATCCGATGAAGTGACTTCAATACTCAAACGATCTTCTCTTAAAGCAATCGGGCAGAAAGGAATGGCTTCCTCAATCTCCGCTGGTACTAAAAAAAGGAAATTGAAGAAAAAATAAAACGAAACATTCGTGGAACTCACATGCACACAACTCATTGATGGAACATTGGCAAGGACATTCACATTCATGTTCTGAATAACGTCCACATATTAGACATCGATGATCATTAACTGAGCAGGGGCAGAATACCTCAAATAATACATTTACACGAAAAGCCATTTAGAAGTTCAAACCGTGGCTGATGATCGATTGCACGTCGTGTTAATCATAGCAATAAACAAATTTGTATTCGATAAAGCCACAATCTCATGTTGTATAGGAATAACATGAGAATCAATTGGTTTTGATCCACAGGGTGACTGGAAATATCATTTAGATATTAAAACACCTTTCATTTTTGTTTCCATCAGATAACAAATCTTACCGTATGGACTTTTTTGTACTGAGTTTGCCATTCAAAATATCTCCTAACTCCTATCGATGATTTACAACGAGCTCGATGAACTAGCGCGGGATCTCTGATCATTTGACTTGTCAACATTGGTTCTTGATGGGAAATATGAAATCGTTCCAAAACATCTGAAGAAATTCTGGCTTTTTCAGATTCCTCTCCTGCATAAATGATGGAACCAGATGCCGTGAATATGACACATCTTCTGCTCTGAAGACAACAATGTTATAAAATTGAAATCAGTTTATGGATCACTTGAGAACAGAGTGATAGACTTTCAGCCAAGAGAAGACGGAAGTAAGCTGTTGGAATTTCCAGACCGAGAACTCCGAAAACCTCAAAGATGTTTTTTTTTGATAATCGGAAAATAGAATGTAAGGCTCACTGATTCATTCTTAGCGAAAGATACTGTCATAGATAAAACTATGACTTCACCTAAGTGCGCTTTCAAGTACGGGCCAGTGGCTACCAGCTTCCCTTCATTTTTCATAGCTTCTTGGAACCAACGCTGACGAAGAGGTTCGTACCGATTAGATATTCTCGTTGCCGGTGAGACAACGAGAACTCCACGCCTAGAAGCCAAAAACCTCCTGATAACAGGAATATCTGCAAGTTAGAAAAACAAGTAGTTGGGAGTAACTGTGATTGGAAAACCTTTGTCGGTCATATCACTTTTCCAAAACCGTGAAACCAAAGAGAGCAAGTGCATTTCTTGTTGAATGATTGAACTCAGCTCTTTTTCATCGAAGTCGTGAACTTCCGAAGTATACAAATAGTTTGAACGGTGGAAAGGTTCTTTACCAAATGGATATATCTGGGATAAAATGAGCTCGATATGAAAATTTGTGAAACAGACCGAAATAGGCAAGAAGAGAGTGGAGAAATCATAATTGAACCATTCACCGTTTTGAACGCACAGAAGCGTCCCCTGAACAGACATTTCGATTATAAACTGGGGCATCAGAAGAAACATACAGTTCGTGAACGATGGTTGTAAATTAGATGATTTTGCGAGTTGAGTTGTTTGTCAATTTCCAAATTTGGCTTGTGCGAAGAGAATGGGAAAGACTTCTCTGTTGTTCTGATGAACAGCAAAAATGGCTTAGTTTTAAGCTGAAATGAGGATGTTTTCAGATAAAATATTATTAAATTCATACTTTTTTCCAATAATAAAATAATTTTTTATTGCTTCTATTGGATATTTCAATGTCGCCTTGTTCCGCATTGACATCGTCTAGGAGCCATTTGCTAGAGACGGCCCAATCGTCCACTTCATTAATGTAAATCCCAAAGTGGCCAGAAGATGAAGAAACTATATAGCTAAACAAAAACTCTAAGTGAGGACAGTTTCATCTGCCTTCCATACCCTTTTTCTATTGTTAAAAAAACTTCAAAGTCTACCGAGGGAGGAGCATAAAGCACATGGTCATCATGAGCGACAGGCCAGAATAGATCATGGATAGGCACATCGATTCCGAAAACAGTGAGCCCTCTATCATCACTTATCGTTTGTGTTACTGTTGCCTCAAAAAAACAATTGCTTTAGGTTATACATAGAATGAGATTTTACTATTTGTTCTTCGTCTTCTCCATACGCTTTAGGTTGAATATGCCAGCTGGCTTCATTTGCTGTGGTTATAAATCCGTCAGGCTTCAACAGATTTTCAATTGCATTCAAAGATAATGACAGTGGTAATGGTCGGTTCAATAAAACTGCCTGAAATATCCAAACCTTCAACAATTATTTCTTTGCTATTATTTTACCTCCCCGACAAACGGCTTGTATTGACTTTCTTCCAATTGTTTTTCCAAAGTCAAGTTCAAGCTGTACCGATATCGTGAAAAGTTTTGTTTTGCTATAGATTCCATGAATTCTGCTGGCCAAAGTAATGAACTTCCTGTTCCTAAAAATTGAAAAAAAGAAAAATAATTAGATTTTTTGGAAATACCGTCTGTTATGATTAAAGTGTTTATCTTCACGGCAAACTTATATTTCAATACCGTTACTGCGAGGCTTTTAAGAACATTCGAAGCATCACTCAGTTCTTCCAATTTTCCTCTACTGATGTACTGTGAAACAGAAAGTTGAGAAAAAGTAATTATAAAAAAAATTATTACTTGAATAATATTCGTGGAAGTTCCAACGTTTTTTTGCGAGGATAACAATTCAAATGATTTTTCCAAAGCAAACGAATGAGATGAAGAGCTGTTGACGACTGCATTTCTCCTTAAATTTCAATCTAAGTTTATGGCTACTCTTTGCTATGTTACCTGATTTCCTCAACAGTTGACTGCAGTTTTTTAATATTTCGACTATTTATTGGAATGAATGCTTGGTGCGCTAGAGGATGACGATCTCTCGAACAAATCTCAAGAACCGAGTTGGAATCAATCACAAGAATTGCATAGAAATCATTGGGAAGAGCAACATCAAGAAGATGTAATGATGTTGTTTTCAAAGTTTCCAGCTGACTATCCAAAGATATCGATCCTAAACCACACTCAAATAGATTAAATATTGAAAATTAACATAAAAAAATAAAAGTGCACGTAACGTCATGGACAGGAAGCCATTTCAATGCAAATTGAAGAACAGAGCGGTTGATTCTCACCTATATCTAGAAGAAGAACTACATTACGTGTGGAGTTCTTCAGCCTTTCTTTCAAGATAGCTGACCAATGTAACTTTGCATGTGTTGGAAGAAATTCTGAAGGGTATTCGAACTGATAATCATTAGTGAAAGCAAATTGACGTCGGAAGAGATGATGAGAATAAATCGGATTGAGAGCTGAAAGAGGACAAGATTCTTGAAACCCAATAACTAAGGAATACCTGATGATTGTTTGATACTAGTATTGATATTGTTAATATTATTATTATTTTTATTGTTGTTGGTGTGAGGTATGGAACACACATGTTTACTACTTATCCGAAGGGCATCCAAAACACTGTTACACGAAGGAGCACTCAGCGATTGTCTCGATAAGGAAGAATCAAGTGAATGAACGGATGTAGATATATTCATAAACTGATCATCTAAGATTTGTGCAAAGTGAGATAGAATATCAGAATTATAATGAAGTGTTGATGTTGTTCCATCAATTGACAATAACTTCTGTAATTGTTCATAAGGTTTATCAAAATGAAAGGAGCTCACTGTTATCTTCGATACGTAAAGTTGTCGATAAAATTCATTTTGTAAATGTTTATTAAAACCAGCTGCATTGAGTACGGCTCCCATTCGAAAAATATTATTATAGGAATCATCTAAGATGGAATAATCATCTTCTGTCATCAAAATATGAATTCTACCTGATTTACAAAAATGAAAAAGAGCTAAACAATGAAAAATGGTTTGTCTTATGATCATCATATTTCTGTGCTGGTTTAACAAGCAAAATATATTCACTTAATTCCCATCTCCACAAAATAACAAAATATTCAAAGGAACATTCTGAAAAGATGAAATTGAAATTTGACAAGATTAAAAGTCATCCAATGACTCAAAATAGCCGGAAAAAACGTTGACAATTACCAAAAAATAGCCATACACAGACGGAACATAGATAAAGAGGGTCACAGAAAGAAATGAGAGAGAGAGAGAGAGAGAGAGAGAGAGAGAGAGAGAGAGAGAGAGAGAGAGAGAGAGAGAGAGAAAGAAAGAGAGAGAGCATAAGTCCAATTGGAGTTTGTCAACTTATCAATATTCCATTCTAAATCTCAAAAATATAGTTTGTAAGTTCTTGTTTTTAATGTTCCGATGCCTATAATGACGACCAATTTTCCAAATATAGAAAATGAAGAGATTTCATATTTTTTGTTATTTCAAGGCGAAAATCAATCAAGAAGATGCATTCGAACTTTTCTTCATTAATTCTTAACCCCAAATAGGAGAGTAAATTCTTCAATTTCTCAAATTTTACTATTTGGCAGTTTAAAAGATTGAAAAAGAAAAAAAATTGTGAAAATATCAAAGGGTGAGGAGTGAATAGCCTGTGTTGAGGTTAGTGCTAACCAAGTGGAATAATAGAACTTAAAGATGAATAAGCGAAGATGGATGAATGTTTGGACGATTTATTTGTGGAAAAGGAGTTTTTGAGAAATATAGAGAGTGAATTGAAGAAAACAAAAAGAGGGCGTAGAAAATCAGACAAATGATGAATAATGAGCCCTCGTATAGCTATGTCCGATAAGGAAATATGACTTTGACATGACCGTTCATAGGTGTTAAACAGTTTCCGCAACAATCTGACACAAATAATAAAAACATTAGAGAATGATATTTGATTTCAGTTATTATATGAGAAAAGAAAACGATTATTCAATCGTACTTGTTTATTTCACTGAATACTTTCGGGAGAGAGAAGACGACGAGAGGATGACAATTCAATGTTCAAAAGGCAGCTTCAAATGGCACGAAGAGCACGTTTTGAATAGTTCCTAATTAGGAACATCAGAAGAAGAAAATGGACTCATAGTGCTTCGAGGGCATATTTGATGAAACGGAAAAGGACAAAACCTGGTTCAAATAGCTTTAGTCACTTGCTTGTACTATTCAGCTTTGTATTGAAATGAATGAGAATTCATAATTAGATGGTCAATGCTAGAAGTTGATGACACGAATGTTTCAAAGATCAACTTATGTTTTCTTTAAAAAAATATTTGGAAAGTTGTATTTTTAATTTTTAATTCATAAAATAATATGAGATGATCCAATGAAATGGTATTATTCAGGCTGTGCTAAAAGAAGACGCCTAATCGATTGGAAGAGACGTAAAAAGAAATAGTACATTTAATCATGAGTGTAACAGACGTGTTAGAGAGGCAGAGAAAGAGGTGAAAGAGAAGAGAAAAAGAGGGTAGAGTGAACCCTAAGACTGAACTGACCAAATGTTATGAAGAGCAGCAGGTCAGTTTAATGAAAGAGAGTTGAATATTGAGAAAATGAAGTAAATGATTACTCCACATCTTTCCGAGTACCGTTCTGCTGTATCTCTCTCTCTCTCTCTCTCTCTCTCTCTCTCTCTCTCTCTCACACACGCACTATCTAATTATCTGTCTCCCCTCTTTCTCTTTCTCTCTTTGAGCCAAAGAGAGTGAAAAAGGAAAAACCAGCTTTGACAAGGAAATGAAAATAAGGGGTCTCATGAACAGAACAGCAGAATATGGATTCCGATGCAATGATGAGATTTCGTAAAAATCTCTCTTAGTAAGGAGCTGCTGACCTTTTGGAGCAGACTCAAACTGAGAAAAACCCTAAAAAATTTTTCTCATGAATGATATGGAGATCGTGCTTATAGACTCGTGATGTATATGTGAAATGTAGAAGTTTCGAAACTTGAAATGTTCTGTAGAGGGACCAAACCAAAAGGAACATGCGAATCTGACTGGGTAGTTGCCGCAAAGAAGAAGTGACAAGATGAAATATCAATGGACGTCGAGGCATGATGAATATGATGTTAGGAAAAAACGTTTCAAACAGAGAATGTTCAACAGACAAATCGTTAGTAGAACTTGTAGCTGAAAATGACTTAATAGAGAGACGGAAAGTGAGAATAGGAAAAACGAAAAAAAGATTCCTCTTTTTCTTTTTCGCCATCATTTGGAATATTAAATTCGGCAGATGAGGGAGAAAATAAAAAGCTGTGTGGAGGCATAGAGAAGAGAAAGTAAGAGATTATTGAGGTGGAAGAACTTTGAGACTTTCTTTCTAAGTTATCCAATTACTTTTAATTAATATTACTTCATTCTCAAAGCTCATGATAGTATAATGGAAAAGAATAGCAAAGCAAAGAAAATAACTGAGCAAGCTCTATGCATTGTCCTCCGTCTGTTCTCTTTGACACTATTCTTCAAAAACCATTCTTTGATCACAATGAAGGAGAAGCTCGGCAAGTTCACTTTCGATCATTGGGTTTTGTTCTGAGGAATGAAAATACACGCAAATACAAAAAGTTCATTGGATATCTTTTATCTCCAGCGCCTTTTGGCTGAATGACGCTTTGGGTTGATATATGGATAGAGAGACTGGGCATTGCTTGAGAGAAACGATTTATACAGATTGAGAGCAAAAAGCTGAAATTCCGGCAAAACTTAATATTCAAAACTATTTGTTCGAAAGCAATAACGCTTCTTTGCATTTTCGAAAAGAACAGAAGTCAAACAATGCTTCAAATTTGCCGCTTATGGTCATCGAACTATCGTTGAAACAGTTTTCGTTCATAATTTTTTATTGTTCGAAACTAAACATATCTCAATTATGTATATATTTAATTTGCATATGATCTCTAGGACGAATGGAATTCACGTCAAACAGCGCCTACGTAATTCCATATTTCATTTTATGTTTGAAAACCACACAGAGCGGTTGTAATTCTGTTTTTTCGCTGATTCATTATACTTGTTCGAATAGGATAATTTTTTTTATTATAAAAGTATAAATAAAAAAATAAAGTTATGATCTTCACATCAGACGATATCTGACGACACACACAAGGATAGTATGTAAAAATGAAAAAAACTAAAACAACGAAGACAAAAATGAACGTTCGGGACTTAAACAGATATGAAATATATAAAGGCCGAGCTAAAAATGGATGAAGGGCGGTATTGTACATCGAAGAAGTGAAGGTGGAAGGACAACGTCATGAACAATTCAATTTCTCTTCTGTTTTTAAAATGTAAAGAAAAGAAAAACATAGATCGAAATCTTTTAAAAATCTGTCTATATGGAGGGCAAACTTAGAGCGGAAAGGTGAAGATACTTCGATTGTTTTGCCTTTCTTTTTTAATATAATTTTAATCTAACTATATTCATGAACGATATGTATAGTTGCACAGCAAAAAAATACAATTTCACTAAAGAAAAGGAATGATCTTAAATAAATGATATCATTTTGGGATGTTTGTTTTACAATCTTAAGATTGAAGTTTCTCTAATTCTTTAACTAAAACCAATTGATCCTCTTCTTGTTCGAGACTAGGAACGTGTTGACTTGTTCCAGCAATCTATAAATTGTTTGAGTTAACCTATATAACTTGTTTATGAACTATTTTTTAAGTACCCATTTGTGATTTGATTCAATTATTAATAGAATAAATTACCTTTGATTTGATTTCAGTATTGGCTAAACTCTCGCCCTCATCCTGGAGATACAAGTTTAACATTGGATAAAGCTTATTAACTACCTGATCGGAAATATTGCTAATGAATTGTTGTTGGGATGTTCCGAGAGAAACTGCTTGTGGTTGCTTCACCAAAACACCGTGGATCACATGATGTCTGATATATTCATTGTTTTAAGCTGAATATACTGCAGAGTTAGTACCTGGTTGCGGGTCTGAATGATCCCAAAGTACGTTGTCTTTGATCAAAAGCTGGTCCGCTGAAAAGAAGGTATTGTATGGAATACATTCATTGAATATGAGTTTAGAATAGGTGTTTGAAAGTATTATTTTCTTGAGAAACATACGTTAATCCATTACGAAGACGGCTATTGGCGGTTGTTAGGCGTCTGCGTGGACGTTGGCATTGTACGCAGAAGATTCGAACGGACTCACTAGCCACAACATTATTTCTGAAAGAAAAATTGTTTGTTGTCTGCATAAGTTGAAAAGGAGACAGCATAAAAACATAAAAGAAGCCTTCAGTTCTTTCTTTCCATTTTTAGAGCGCAGTCATTCATAATTTACCTGTAGTGAAGACTTGGCCAAGCTGGACATTGTCCATTACGAATAGCGAAAGCTGTTGATGGATTGAATTCACAATGTCCATTTGTAGGGTTATAATGAGCAATCTTAAGAAACGTAGAAAAATGACCAATATGGGAAAACAAAATTTAGATTTTGTTGAGTAGTTCTTACAGCGCAGTTGAATTCGTGACAAGTACGTGCACACTGATCAACAGTTACAGCGACGGCGAAGTGAGTGAATGTCAATCTAGATGGTCCAGTAATTGGAGTTGAAATATAGAAAATAGAAGCAGGGCAGACTTAAAAGTATCATGTATATATTCCAAACTTAAACTGTCCTACCTCCAGTGCGAAGGTTTTGAGTACCAGCGAAGGGAAGTCTTGGAGCTTGAGTGGTTTGTGGAGTTGTACGGAATTGTGATCTGCAAAGTTATACAATAGAGATTTTGTTGATTCCTGGTTTTTTTCCCGAAGAATAATGAAATCTTTTAAGAACATCCAAACATTCGCGATTTCAATTATTTTCACCTATGGTTCATTATAACACAAATGGACCAACCTGGTGAATTGAGGCTGTTGTGGTCTGAATGGAGCTGGGGTTGGGCGAGGCTGTGGAGGTGGTGGTGTCTGACGGTTGGGGGTAATAACTTGAGGCAGAGGCTCTGGACGGAATTGTTGTTGAGGTCTTCTTCAAAATAAATTATTGTCAAATGGAAAGAATCCCAGTAACATACTGTGGTTGGAATGGTTGTTGGGGTACTGGTCTGAATGGGACTGGAGTTGGACGTGTAAATGGTACCTGAAAGTCATATAATACATTCCCTTAGAAAGTTTATTTTTTTGAGTAGTTAGTGCAAAAGTTGTATTGTTTTTGTTCTGTAATGTCTCTTACCTGAGTGGTCTGAATTGGTGGACGAGTTTGAAGAGGTTGAATTGGGCGGAATTGTTCGCGTCCAAAGTTGGTAGGAGCAGCAGTTCTGAAAAAAAATGTTTTTTACTTTCTTCAAAACGCTAGTAGCATGAAGACAACAAAAATATCAAAAATAAAATACTCACGGACGAATAGTGGGGAGGGTTTGAATGATTGGTGGGACAGTACGAATGGTTGTAGGAGCCAATGTAGGTCTTAAAGAAATGAACTTAAAGAATTCATTGATAAGTATATTCACCTTGGTGTAGTTGTTGTTGGCTTTTTGTCCTCTTTTTTCTGGCCGTTTGGTCGGTATGGCTTGGGAACGAAGAGATTTTTCTCATTTTCAGTTGAAATGATTAAGTTATCATCATAAGCTCCGAATGGGTCAACGAAATTTCCATTATCATCTGTTTAAGTGTATTTTTAATAAAAGTACAGAAGAATATTGTTATACTTGGAACAAACTCTTCAGCCCCATCTACTTCATTGAAAAGTTCACGACGCACACCATCAATTGTTCCAACATCTTCAAATATTTCATAAATTAACAATGTTTTCGTGTGAGCACAACAAAAACTTACAAACTTTGAACTTGTCGCCATTATTTAATTGATCGTTGTTTGATGAAGCAATTGCCCTTGCCTGAATTCTGTAATTTACATAAATTAAAAAGCGAATGAATATAGACGACCGTTCCACTTTGTTCAAACTCTTCATATGAGAAATAAAATGGATGACAAATGAAAAACAAGTCACGGGATCATTGACGTGAATTTAAATAAGAAAAACTTACTCAGCGTTATCTACTTCTTGAGAAAATGCCACGTGGGCGAGAAGAACTGTGGTAGCTATAAGTTGTAAAGCTATCATACCTTAAAATATTGAATTAACAAAACGACCATGTGAAATCCGAAAAAAAGAGACGAAAGAAGTGAGATAAGCTGAACAAGAAGGAGAAAAAATGTGTTGAAATAAATTGAAATGAATAAGAAACATATCCGTTTATCCAATAAAAAACGAGATAAAGAGAGCGATAATCGGGATCGTTTTCATATTTAATGGAATGACCTTCTAAGCCTTAAGCGAAGAAATGAAAAATGCTTGAACGGACCGAAATTCGTTGAAGCACTTCTTCCTCTTGGATATCAGTTTGTGTTTTTCGCAGAAGAAATTAGGAAGTAAAAAAGGAGAAATGTCTTCAATATGCTATTAATATTCTGCATGATAAGCTAAAAGAGAATAATTGTTGATTTATAAACTTTTCAAGGTTGAAACTGTTAGAGAGAAAATGAAATTTAATTAGAAAATATATAGCTAGGAAGAAGAATGAAATCGAATTATAAGAAGCTGTTTGACGAATCAGATTGTGGCATAGCAGGTGGTAGCCTGTACATCTCCGGTCAGAAGCTAATGCTTCATCGTTTTTATAGTCTCGTTTAGAGAAATTTAATGAATTTTGTTTCCATAAGAGTCGCCTGAAAAGACAATATTTCCTGTCTTTTTTATCTCTCAAACAATTATTCAAAATGATCAGTTTTCAAGATTTCTATCCAGATCATTTTGGGTTTCCGAATGAAGTGTCCGTTGAAAGCAGTAGTTCTCGACAAATCATCTGGACTGTCAGCTTCATTTTTGCAAACACTGATAACAAAAAAATGAGAGAAAATTAAGTGTCAAGAAAAAAAGAAAAAAAATGAAATTAAGTGTAACAAGTGGTCACTTCGATGTACGGTATCACGGAAATAGGAAAAATATTTCAATCAAAACATCTTTAAATCTCTTGAAATGAAACTATCTCACTCACTCACTCACTCACTCACTCTCTGGCAACTTATGAATGAAACTTTTGCTTGCAACGGCAATACGAATAAATCTAATGAAAGACTGCCTTCGTTTAACAGACAGGAAAGCTGATAATGATATGAAACACGAAATAAAACAAGAAAAGATGCCTTAGATGAACAAATGCTGATTTGAAGAAAAAGGGAGGAGATCCTGTAGACCTTATTTGAAATAGATTGGACCAGCAAACAGATGATGAAGAAAAAAGAATGAACAATTAGAAAACTTTTTCAAAATATTTTTTGAACTCGAAATGTTCATGATTTGAGTTGTAGCAAAGTATCGAAAGAACATTTTCAACTAGACTTAGTGCAAGTATCTGGAAAAGACAGCCTCGTTACATACAGGACTACTCTAAGTATTCAGAACTTCCCAAAAGAAGGGAAAGTAAACCATAGAAATCAAGTATGCCTTATTCATAGTTTCAAATGAAGATAGGTGATGTTTGAACATGAGGAGAAAATCTTAAAACAGAAAGACGTCTTGTCATATACAACTTCTCAATTCCTCAGTCAGAAAATCAGATGAAACACAAGATAGCTTTCTCTGAAATGAAAGGAAGTTTGTACAAAGTTCCGAAAGATAAAGTCAAAAAGATATTTAAAAAAGATAAACAGCCAGTCAAAGTTTCTTCTCATTCTACATTATTCTCTCTTTCACTTTCTCTTCGATAACTCTCCTTTTACTCCTCCCATACTATATGTATGTCCTTCTCTCTTCTACAGAATTCAACTTCATCTTTTCGAACTCTTCTTTTGCAATCCTTAGTTCTTTAGGTTAGAACAGACTCTGAAGAGTAGAGAGACAAGAAACAAACTGAAGAAAACTAAAATTTGACAGAATTTGGTTCATCAGAAACAGTTCGAAATCCATAAGTTGCAGCTATTTAAGTCAGAACTGCAGGTGGGTTGGATGGGAGGGGAGAGAGTCTATAAAGAAAAAGCTGAGACTGATTAGAAATGTGATGAAACTGTAAGAGAAAAAGATATGAGATATTCGGAGAAAAGCTCAAAAAGTTATAAGAAGAGATGATTTGGTGATTGGTTAGCATGGAGGAAAGATCAACACAGAGAGAGAGAGAAATAGGAAAATGAAAAGAGAAAAGAGTGAAACCTAACATAAATGGTAAACGTCTTCAAAGGGATTAACGGACAAAAAGTTGTCGAACTGGATAAAGTTAGCTGTTTTTGAAGATTTTTTTGTCTTAAAACTATCACAGTACTATCCGGCTATGGCAGTGCCTCATTTAAACCGGAAGCTGATCTCATTATCACGTCACGGACACATGCAATCCGATTCCGCATTAACTATGTCTGTTAATCAAAAATAAAAAAAAATGTTTTGAAAGATAGGATAAGCCAAAGGATCCGGCCATGAATCTTCTGAAAAAAAAACACTTTCATTCGTAGTATCTCATTGTGATTAATTCCAATTATGAAGCACAGAGAGGGAAGTAGTGGTGAGGAAGAGTGAAAGATGAAAACGAACATCTCACATCCAGTTCTTCGTCATTTCAATACTTTTGATTATTAGGAGAAAAAAAGTTCTGTAATGAAACTGTTGGAGACGTTTATCGTCACACATAAAACGTTTCAGTTTGTTTAAGAAAGAAAAAACGAAGACAATGTTCTTCGTTTGACCGTAGAAATTTTCATTTTTACAACATCATTAAGAATTATTTGATGGTTTTCAAGCTTCCCTTTTCATATTTCAAGTGGCAAAATCGTTTTTTGTTGTTCACGCAATCAGGCAAATCGAAAAAATGTTTAGAAAGAAAGAAAACGGATACCTTAGTGGGAAGTGGGAGAATCGTTATGTAATTCAATTGAAATGATTCGGAGAGAAAGAAAAAAAAGAATTTCATCAGCTAAATCACAGAAGTGTTGGAAAGAACTATCTGGCAAAAGCCACAAGGTTCTTCTGATCAGCATAACTTCTTCAAGATAAGCGTATTCTTAACAGGTTCAGAAGCTAGTTATTTCTATTATCTAACGGCTTAATTAATCTTTATCGCTATCAAAAGAAGAACGATAATCTCGACAAGCTTTCCATTTACCAAAACAGCAAAATAAATATTTATGGAGCTATCCATCATACAAACTACGAGAAAAGACTTCCGAAGTAGTTTCTGTAATTCTGGTGATGTCTTAAGGCTATTCCTTAAAATAACTTTTTTTCTATTTCTATATGACGAAGTTGACGGAATATTTCGAAAAAAGGCAATTCATCCCTAGTTGAATGAGATAAAATAAAAGTTTCAAGTGGATTTCGAACTCCGATCCAATTGACTTTCTGAATATGATTTGTGCCCAGAAAACGTAATCCTTCATATCAACAGTTGACCATGGTCTTCATTAGGCTTTTTCAAATGATTTACCTAATTAGGCAAGAAAAGCTTGGAAGACCTAAATTCTTGTTTTGTGATATCTCGTTAAAACTGGAATGGAAACAATGCGCCACCTTTCGCTTGTACACGGCTTTGACCATGTAAGTTTGAGAAGTTGGATAATGCTTTCATTCGAAAAGATATGGTAATACTTCAACACAAGATATTAAACTGTTCGAAATTCACTCAAATTCTTCTCTGAAATTCTTCTGGTTTAATTATCGTTCTGTGTGAAGCAAAAATGTCTTTTGTCGCTCACGGACACAACCATGATGACCTCGCGATCAAGTGAGGACAATCTGGACTTCAAACAAGTTGATGTCGTTGTTTCCCAGCAGGTGTTAGTCAATTCAGATGACCACAAGTGTCGGACAGGTAACAAGCGCTCAAACAACCAGCTATAAAGCTTATGGAATCAGCTTTATGTGTTTTAAATTATGCTTGATATTTCACATCAGGATCATTAGGTATGAGATAACGGTAGGACCATTTAAGAATGGTTACTAAGCCAAGAGAGCCAAAAAAATGTTCAAAGTCTTACACCAATGCTATTTAATTGGCTTGAAAGGAATCAAAGATTACAAAATGTAAGATCTACCAAAAGGCAGAGGGTGAGGAGTGCGGTCTCATACAAACATTTTGCTTGTCTCATCAAGACAACAATCTAATGAACTCTGTATAGATTTCGATTCCATATTGTCAAAAAAAACTTTTTTACCCTCTTATCTCTGAAGCTATATGGAAGAGTTCGAATAAGATTCCATTTCAGAAGAAACAGAAGGACGACTTGAAAAAAGTTTTCGGTTGAAAAGATGTGGTTGTTTTCTTGCGTCTATGTTCCAGTTAGATGGGATTTCATTGAGAAGCTAGATTTTTTCAAAATTGTTAGTTCAAAGGTTGTCCTGTGTCGTTCTTCAATGAGAGTTGACAAAAAATGTCTGGAAACATGAAGAGGTTGAGGAAAGAAATCGAATTTTCAAGGATATTCTACTTTATGGGAGAATTGAAGTCTGAGAATTCCTAAGATCAGTCGAAACAGTTAGGAATAGCCTCTTTTTTTTCTGCTTGTTCAGTAGGATAAGAATTTCGAATCGTAAAACACTCAGTATCATTGTCTGATATTTGAAACTTCTTGAAAAAAATCGAAAAGTTTTGCTGAAAATCGAGACATCTGTGATATTTTCATATTGAAATGATTGAAGAAAAGAACCTGTGGTTGATCCAGTGGCCGATAAAAAAGGAAAAATGATGGAAAGAATGGCTTAAGCAAGATAACAAGATAATAGAAGAAGATATGAAATCTTTCAAAGACGCACACATTCATACGGGAATTTCTATAAACTATATGATGAATTTGATTAAGCAGCAAAGAATTTTTTTGTTCATCACATCCTTAGTAGGAATCTGTGTGTGAGAGGGATTTAGATAAAGAAATTGCAACCGATTTCCTCCACAATTTGTCTAAATGATTTTCTTACACACTGTGTTCACGCTACTGTCAGCTCCAAGTTCGATGTAAGCCACGTATACAAGTAGCCTCCTAATATTCCTGAAGGAGATAAGGTATAATGCCGGTCAGGAAAGAGGAGAAACATACTTAAAACGTGTTGTAAACAGAGCGATAGTTAGAAAGAAAAGTATA